TTTTTTTCCGAGAAAATTTTGAAATCCATAGTTTGTTACTTTCTTTTCCATGGGGTTGTGTTTCTGGGCATTTTTGTTATTGTTTGTTTGTTTTATTTTCTTTCTCTCATTATTTTTTGCCATCTTATCTTAGCTTCAGTCTGTTAGTACTCCCCTTTAAGTGAATTCACCTCCAAAGGGTGTTCTGTTTGTTCATTTACGTTTCTGCCAGAGCGCATTTTATTGTTAAAATAGTAGGTTGCAGCTTACAAGGGGCATATTAGACCTTTTCTCCAAAGCACCCAGTTGGGAGTAGGAATTGGTGCCAACATGAACACTGCACGTAAATGAAACGTGGTTTCTCTTGTTTAGAACATTTCTCTCGTGTGATTGCTTGACCCGCTTTGGTTACTTATCAGCCCACGGAACTTGCCTCGGGAACTGTCGTGGGTAATTCTTTTAATTTTTTTGACGTGTCCATGACATTTCACTGAGGCTATTTCACCTTGCGAAAATCGGTCACGGGCAAAAAGTTGCTTCCCCGTGGGCAAAGCCATTTGCTTATGGGTAAAACGGCTCTTGTATCCGCAACTATAAGTATTATGAAATTTGAAAGACAAAATTCAAGTGCAATTTTTAGCCAGTCAGTTTAGAGTATATATTTTTGCACTGAACTGAGGCGGCGACATTGGAGAAAATGTTAACTTTCTTCGTTAGCCTAGTAACTAAAATTATAATTTATGCTTTAATTAATCATTCACACGATATAATAGTAGTCACTGAATTTTACCCTGTTTGCAAGCATAACCCCAGCAGCCGCTGCCCCTGGTTTGGAACCTTCGATGCCAATGTCTCCAAGATTTACGTCACCGTGGTAATATGCAACTGCAGTTGTTATTTGAAGAAATGTGTTCATGTCGCTGTCTCTGTAACAGAGTGCTCCCGCGGGGTATGGGCAGAAGCCAGATTTGTGAGGATCTATGGTGATAGTATCACATTGATGGAGCGCTGATAACTGCTCATGGACGTAGGTACTTAAATACAATTCGGGAACAAATCCATCCTCTGGTGTTATGACAGTAGAGGATTTTGGCTGGTCGCGCAACATGCTGCAGAAATATCCACCCCAGGCTCCATCCGCGTGGACGCAAAAGTTGAGACCCTTTAGAAAATAATAGGTACATTTCAGGATGTGAGATTGTCAAGAGATTGTGGAAAGGCTGGCCTCTAGCACAAGGAAGTGTGAAAGTTTAATTATTTACTTAGGATTCTCTCAAAGAATTCGACTAGGTTTCGCTAAATCAGTACCCTTTCTGACCTTTGAGTCTCGCGTTTAATTGTTCAAGATCCAAAGTACACTCCGCAGTTTTAGAACCGGGCTGTGATTGTTCTCTGTTTTTAATCGTCCGTGTTTCAACAGACGTTCGTGGGACAGGAACGCGAGTCCAAACCCTAACAACGTCTGCGTTGGAGGCTAGAAACAAATGAGCACAAGTGACATTTGCATTTATGTCTTAATTAACCAAGAATTTTAGCTATTTGGAGAGTAGTGTAAAAAATCAAACCTAACCTTTTTGCTAAATTTTTTCCTCAAATCAAGAATTTCTGTCAAAGGATCCACAGCGCTTTCTTCCGTTGTTCCCATCACAGATACCACTGTGATGACTGGAATCTCTTGCTCCAATTTTTCTTCGAGAACACGCTTGAGATCTGAAACATAATGCACACCTTTATATCACCCAGGGAAAGTTCTATTACGAGTCGCAAAGAGCTATGTAAGTGAAGTACAAAATCTTCTTCATCTACCATCACAAAGATGTCGCTAAATCTTTCAAAGATGGTTTTTATTCTCTTTTGAAGTCACGGGATGTAGCATTGTATATAAAGTCAATTCACCAACCTTTTGGGTCCATCCGGGCATCTTCGTCAACTGCTACCGTCACCAGGCTCTCTCGTCCGAGACCAAGAATAGTGACTGCTTTAGTTAGAGAAATGTGCGCCGTACTTGGGACGATAACGCAGGCACTCTGAGTTAGCATGTGTCGTCTAGCAAATTCTTGCGCTCCAATTGACTCGTAAAGATATTGGCCCATAATCTCCATGAATGTCTGATGTTCCATATCTAATTTTTTCTGTACATCAGAAGGCATCTTTAGGATGGTGTCGACGTCAAGATTGAGAAGTTCCCACTGCGACGCACTTATTAATTCCCCTTCTCCACCACCTCTTTGGGGAAAACTAACCTAATTGTAGGATATGATAGGTATCAATAACAATATTAAAGCAAATAACTAATACTATCAAATACTATGATAAATTTATGGGATGTTTTCAGGGTCTGGAAATGGGGTAGGGTGGGGGTGGGCCTTGATCCTGCATTTTCGCTCCTTTTTCACGAAAATCCTGCATCCCGCTCTTTTTTCATCGCTTTTTCGAATTCCTTTTTTGTTTCTAAACATAATGAAATAAAACAATTAAAAGAATAAGAGTAATGAAACTAGTTAACAAGGCACACTATATAGGAGACACCATGCACCAAAAGCGCGCCTGGTTGATTTGCATTTGCTGCTCAATTGTATGACTTCTCGAATTGCCAACATATACGAGTTAAAAAAAAAAAAATAATAATAATAATAAATCCCGAATTCCGGGTATAAATTTGGGCGAAGAACCCTTTCCGGCCGATAGCTGTAAAATCTCGTTTCCCGACAAGATATGTTACGTCACTTTCCGAATACAACACCGTATTAGGTCAAATCTTGGACCCCGAAATTAATATAATTTTCTTTTTTTCTTTGTGTGTGTGTTGCGGAAACAATTGCTGGTGCGCTTTTGTGTTGTGGCGCGGTTCAATGTCTTTACAATCTTTTGTCATTATTACGTTGGTGATTGTACCTGTCCACAAGTCAACACCAAGAAACCATTAACTTTTTGCACCGCAATCGATTCCTAAATAACTGATCCGGCTAATTAGATTAATCTGTTTAGTTAAAGGAACAAGAAAAGTATTTCGTTTGCTCTGTGGATTATTTCAAAACCAGTCTCTTGCTTATTCAATTTCACGTTAATTGTGTTCTATTTTTTTTTGTTTGTTTTTAACTTGTGTGTTCAAATATATTTTATTTCGTCGTACTCTATGTCAGACCAGTCAGTACTCGGAATTTCTGATTAAAAAATGCGACATTGCTTTCTGTCTCCGTTTAACTTCATTAAATTACGGTCACCTTATAGTCTTTCGCACCAGCAAACCTCTCCTCCTTCAACAAAGCTTCTTGCAGTCCCAGTGGAAAGTACTTCACATTTCTTCCCGCCCAAATTGCTTCAATGTTGGCGACGGAGCCACCAGCGGTAAGGTGTCCCATTGACTTGTCTTTGTCATACCCCATCATGACAGACAGGTCCGTTCCCACTTCGACCTCGTATTTGGTTGTAACAGTGGATGCTTCGGCTGCACAGTTGTTTTGGTTGAACAGCAATGCAGAGATGTAGCCAAGGTTAGCGGGCATGGCGGTCTCCCAAAGAACGTGGCCCTAGAAACATTTTAGCAGTCGACGTCACTTCAAGGAAAACACGTAAAACTATAGCCCGTTTCTCGAACGCCAGAGAGCCGTTTCGAGTCCAAGGCGAAATAAATAAAATGAAAACCTGAAGAGTACAAAGCGCTTTCTGGGCCTGGTTAATTCCTAGCTAGGACAATGGAGAATTCAGTCGATGCAGTTGCTAAAGTATCTAACGCAACTTAAGTCAGTCGTCTGATCTCGCCCAGAGCAAACCTGATTCAACATATTGTTTAAAAGTCAAAAATATTAAGTAGTTTACTGTATGTTAAAGTACAACTTCCAGGAAGTTTTTTAAGTTTCCAGAATGACAACTTCCATGAAATCAATTCTTGTCACTGTTAAAAGCAGAATATCTAGTAGGTAAAATTATGTGAAATTTTAATTGGTTTTATATCTTATACTATTTTTCTCATACAAATGGATCTAAATGCCTTTGCTTTTTTGTATTTTTATTTCGTTTAGTCTAAGTACGCCTGTCTAAAACAATACTCAAGAGTCCTGCCAAAATTCCAATCTTCATTCAATTACCTAGAATCTACAAAGCCAGAAAAGAAGCAACGAAATTAAGTGTACTCATAATCATATAACCTATATACTTCTGGTGTACTACATAGTACTTATTACCTTGTAACGTGAACTAAAGAAGGGAACGGAGTTTCTCAGATCCTTTTGCAATTGGTCCATCTCCGTTTGTAAATTCTCCATGGCATGCTTAAAACCCCCTGCTTCTCGAAGCTCGTCTGTGATGTAGGGAGGGTCACAGGGAAAATAACTGAAAAAAATATCAAAATAAGTTGTTCAGAATTAACAATCTTAATGATTACGTTACGGAGGCAAAATGCAGCGCTAGCCCAATACAAAGAAGGTGGAATGATAAAAACTGCTGTGTTACTCTAAGTGCATCAACTAGGTTCATACCAGTACTGAAAGACGAGGTGTCTAAAAATCCACCTCTCCTTGGTGTGGCAGTATAAACGTTTATACAAAGTTGTGAACGCTACGAGCGCTGTGATTGGTCATTGCCCATGATCCGTTAGAGAACAGACACGCGGGCGACGTCACGGAAAACTTGTTTTATTTGTTTTGTCCAACGTGGCCCGCGGTTTTAAGCAAAAAAGTAATATAAATACATAGATGAAATTTTTACAAAAGCCTCGAAAAACTATAGCAGGAGCCGTTAACAAGCTAGCCTGCCAATACAGCCGTCTCTCCTTGAGGACATTTCGATTCGGGGGAGAGACGTCTGTGCGATTCGGCCACATGAATTCCACAGTGATGACGTACATTTGTCAGCAATCTGGTTAACTAGCACTGATTGGTCGGCGTAGTAATTATATTGTTTTAACTTAGTTGTTCACGAATGACCGCCAAGAGGCAAAAAGTCTCTAATAAAGATCAAATGTAAAGGCCATTATCAACATGAAAACGCCATCAAAATACGGTCATGAATAAGCAGTCATTATTCTTAGAATTCAAAAGACGCTACTTGGAGTCGTACTACCGCTCGTTTGCAAACGAAAATGTTACTATAGTAGAACAGGAGAAACTTAAACTAGAACAAATTTATATCTGGAACCCCATGACTACTAGATTGATCAGTTTTTTCTTTCTTTCTTTCTTTCTTTGCTTCCGGGTCAGATCAATTTCCTATCACATTTGGCGCTATTTATAGGGGTTTTAAGGAAAATAGAACACAATTACTTAGCTCAAATGGCGAATCCAAGATGGTGGATCGTTCCAGATCCTTCTTTAAAAATTTAAATCAGTCGCAGGAAGCAAAAAAACAACAAACAAACAAACAAAAAAAAGCCAGAAGAGGGTTAAACTCGCTACTGATTTTTTGAGAATAGGCGAAAAAACTTCAAGTTAAATCTTGTCCAATTCCTTGAATCGTAAGATCTCTATGAACTCACCTGTGACGAAATCCAATTTGGGCATCCACAGCTTGCGTCAACAGGTCGCGAAGCACGTCGCCGTTCTCGGCTTTAGGCCCAAGAAACCAGGCCCCAAGTGCGGCCCACTGTTTATGCTTGTCAGCTTTATGGTCACCTCGGCAAAATACTGCCCGTCCATGGGAGTACATGGATGACTTTGATGGACGAGGCCTTTTCGCACCCGAGGCAATGAGCTGGGCAGCGGGTCTCTTACGACGCTGACTGAACATTATAGCCCTGTTTTGATGATAAAAGAAGTTGTTTATTTTTTTCTGTAATACGTCAAACGAAGTTTTAATTACGTCTACCTTCTAAGAATCTCCCCTAAACTCCCATGTAAAAGGGAAGCTGATGGATGCCGGAAAATTAGGTAAGGGGGGGGGGTTGAAAACAAAAGAAAAGGAGACTGGGCGAGACAAACGCCTACACAGTAAGAGCAACATTCCATTTTTGAGAAGGAGGTGGTCTTGGCACGGTGGCACGTACCTGTCCAGTTTAAAAATGGCAGTACCTCCTTCCCCAACAACCGAAACCCAACTCTGTTTTAGTTTAATGTTTATGAGCTCTTCGAAGAATAAATTCACGCTTTTGTAGCAAAACTCGGTAACAGATGTTTCTGTTGGTTTCCGTCTGCCATGTTGCAGCTCATCCGGATGAGCACCAGCATGGCGTCTCCATACAAATCTCTTTAAATCTGGGTAAAACGTTTCTTCGAATATCTCGTATACGAAATATTCCTCTGACCCGAATCTTGGCGAGGGCATTGTTTTGGCCGAAAATCATCACTAAAAATTACACTTTTTCGTCGTCGATTTTTCAGGGAAAAAAGTAAATTAAAAATCGAAAGTCTGCGCTTACAGCAACTCTCAAGGCCAAACCTTGATATCTAGTTGGAATTTTTCCTCTCGCTATTTTCGCTGGACATGCTTCAGCCATTTTCTTAGAGCCACTATCGCGTATCTCAGCTTGGCTCCTTCGTGCTCGAAAGGAATTCTTGGCATTTGATTCACACCGTGAGCGTAGAACGCCTCCTATTCCCATTTCACCAGCGGCCACCCAGTCCTACCAGCGAAATTCTGCATCTATTGCTTTGTTTACACGTCAAAACTCGGCCAAATTGTATAGGTAGGCCTGGAATCAGTCCACAGAACGGGCAGAGAGATGACTTCGAAGCATGTTTGGCGGCTTAGTTAGCGCGAAACCACCTCTCACCTCTGTATTCTTTCAGAGGCTTGTCTTTACTCCCATTCCAGCTTGAATGCCAGCATGGGAGCCTCTGCAGAAGAAAGTGGATCCAAAAAACACTTATCACGCCATGAACTTGCAACAGTCAAGTCCATGAATCCGCTAAACGAACCCCGACCGTTGACTTGCGTTACACTTCTCGCATTTGACAAACATCGACCGTTGACTTGCGTGATATTCCTCGCATTTGACAAACATACGACGCAAATGTGACGCAGGTATTTCCATGGCGACTCCTTATATGGAAAAATCAAGGTTTCGGACTATTTATAGCCAAAATTACATAACAGAAATATGCACTTATTCAAGACGCAAAGGGTTATGGGAATGATTAGCTTCACGTGGCCTAGATATATTGACACTCCCAGAAAATGTAAGGCCCAGCTAGACTCTAACCAAGGGGCTTTCTTGGGATAACAAAATGAGTGTTGGTGCTTTGACCTCCAAGTGAGTTAGTTCAACAGTTAGGGTTAGTAGTGGGGTTTGCGCTTCAAAAAGTCACGTGACTAGGCATGAATAGATTGTGCTAGTAAATTCAGGAAAAGTTGCCTCACAATATACCCAAAAGTTGCTCTAAAGTTGCTCAAATATCAAAAAGTTGCCACCAAAATTTAGAAAAGTTGCTTGCTCTAGAGTCGTTTTGTTTTAGATAAATACTCAAAACGTGTTTGTTTGTTTGTTGCCATTTAAACATTTTCATTAAATATTCTTGAATAATCATTAAAATTCAGGAAAAGGCTAAATATATTGTTATATGACAAAAATATAAATACTATGTTTTGTTTTAATCAATATTTGTTTGTTGCCATTTAAACTTTTACAGATATAAAGATAGCCAAAAGCCATTGTTATGTCCAAATTTCGTGGGCGTAATATAAGATGTTATTTATTTGCCATTTTATTGTATATCCTTAGTTTTAATAAAATCAGTTTTGATAAAACCAGTTTTAATAAAATCCTTCGAAATGAAACGACCTTTTATGGTTTGGATCGGTTTTATATCAATTTGTTGCTCAAAAGTTGCCAAAGAAGGCAAAAGTTGCTCTAGGTTGCTGGTACTACAAAGAGTTGCTCAAAACGCTAAAAGTTGCTCAAAAGTTGCCGAGCACAATCTATTTATGCCTACACGTGACAAGTATTTTCATCCACACTGCAAGACTCTAGGGTGACTAGCCATACCCGGTGTATGTTGAATTAAGAATATTTCGCTCCTAGTCTTTAATTTCAAAATTCGCCATCCCCCTTACTTCGTGATTTGCGCTTTGGCTTAACATGGAGCTCTAACAACTAGCCTACCTATCGAAGTCCTTATCTTTTGCTTTGGTTGACACAAAACTTTCCATTGTTACTCTTACTGTAAATTATCGTTAGTTTGCAGAGTTTACCATATCGCAGTATCAACTTACGGGCAAAAGGCAATTTTGATTTAATAATTGTTTTCATGTTTATGAGCATACACTTTCTGTATGAAAAGCCCATTGTAGAGTTGAACCGACTGCGCTACCTAATCTCTAATAAGTTTTTGTTGTATGCTAGCTAATACCTGTTACTTTGGGTGCCACGATAATTGGACACTCACGTTGTGACGTAGTAGAGACCTTAAAATACACCGTTTCCGTGTACGGGTATGGGTAGATCCGGGGGTATTACTGGTAGATTACCTCTTACCCAGGAGAAACGGGTAGGCTACCGGGTAGCCTGCGTAGCAAGCGTTTCCACCCAAGTTCGTCGAGAACGTCGGGACGAGAGCAAAAACAAGGAATGACGAGCTGTCAATTTACAAATGAACCGAGGCCGTGAGATATCAAGGGGCGTTTTCCAGAATCGTGTGCTTGCGGGCAAGCGTCTCCTCCTCTCCCCTCCCCCTCCCCTTTCCACCTTTTTTTTTTTTTTTGCTCCTTCTCTAACTTTCCCGCAATGACTCGATTGGAAACGCTTGCTATGCAGGCTAGCTACCGGGTAGTACAGTTGAACCCCGCTATTTCGAAGTCCCAAGGGAAATGGAAAAAAGTTCGAAATAGCGGTGTTTCGAAATAACCGGGGAAGCGTAAAATTGGTAACAATGAATCTTTTTTTAATAAAATACAGTATTGTATGAAGAAAGACACTGATTAAATAAAAATACGGCAATTATATGTCGGATAAATTAGCGGATGCTGTTGCATTGAAAAATCTTTGAATGTTCTGTTCGAGCTCAAATAAAATGCAATACGTTTCCAGCTGTGCTCTTATGTACGTAGTCCGTTTTTGACAAGTTCGAAATAACTGGGTTTATTTAAGGTGTAGGGAAAGAACGATGAGTTCGAAATAGCAGGGAATTCGAAATAACCGAGTTCGAAATAGCTGATAGTAAATGACTGAAAACATAAGGGTAAATCCAAGGGAATTCGATCTTCCTTCGAAATAGCGGGGACTTCGAATTAACCGAGTTCGAAATAGCGGGGTTCGACTGTAGTTAAGGCATTATCACACGCCTTTTATAAAACTACCGAGATAAAAATGTTCGCTTACCCGTACGAGTGGGCTGAAACGGTGTATCTTAAGGTCACTATTGCCAGCAGTGACCATCGTCTGTCATCTTTATGTCATCTTATCATTGTATCGGATGATAAGATGATTTTAACACTTGATCAGACCACGTTGCGACGCAATTTAAGGCAAACGAACGTTTAAACAGCAAGCGATTCTTTTACCTATTTATTCTTAAATTTGAACTGAATTTTGTAGGTGCCATATTGCTCAGCAAGAATTTAATGAAGCATGCCTCTTCACTGATAGCTTAACCCGCCGCGTTCGTGGACAGTGAGCGGATTAAGATTTCAACTCAACCGGAAAGAAATACAATAAAGGTTTTAATCCTTTAGCAGTTTCAAAAATCTTTATGTCTTAGAGCCATTGACGTGGAAAGGCTATTGGGTGTGTAAACTTAAGTTACCTTGGAAAAATTATCCAATTTAGATTTTATAAAGTTTATACTTTGGTATGTGCTCCACCGGGCCTTTGCAAATAGGGCATTATGCAGTACTGTTTCTGATAGCGCACATATATATTTTGCAAACAAGTTAAACAAAAAGCGCTGAGTTAATTAACTTTGCTATAAATGGCAAGTAAGGGCGGATGTTCCAGAAAGAGAAATTGTGTACAAGTGACACCGCTTACGTGGCAGGTCATCAGCAGCTTCAAAAGCCAAATCGCAATACCCGAACATGCAAACCTAGCGGTTAACCTAGCGAAGTTTTAGAGTCGTGTGGAACGAAGCTAGGATAGGTAAGCTTAAATCATTGCCCAACTGCCATCGCATGCCTGGCTTCAGAAATTTTCAAACATTATTAACTCCAAATTGAAGTACCTAACTCGCTAAAACAAACCCCCAAAATTTCATTTTCTTCCTACACTTGTTTTTAAAGTTGCATAAAGTAACACATAGGTTGTGAGAATATCATACCTGGTTGGAACGTTAATCAGTGAGTTCAAGGTTTGTAGATTCAGCCTGAACTGAAGCTGTACCGACAGTGCATGCACTGTGAGCTTGGCCGAAACAATTATATTCACAAAAATGGATTTATGCATCAAATTCCGAGCGCCAATGAGCTTTGATTTTTAAATATAGAATAGTAATAGACAATGGCACTTTGTGTCTGTGTACAATTTGAATTTCAAAGGTCATGGGATTGTGCAACGAAGCGTGCAGAATTCACGTACAGTTTCTGATTTTTGTCTTCACAGTTAGTTCTTTTTGGATATTTCCTTTTTCCCATAATCAAACAACTTTATCGCAACATCATGTCATGATGAATTTATCAGTAGTATATAAATAGCTTTAATGACACCCAAGAATGAATGACACCCATCATCTTCAGGTAGACAAATGACCAAAATTAGTTTTTGTTTTGTTTCGCTTTGTTCTTTAGTTTTGTTGTATTTTTTTTTTTTTTAATGTCTCTGTGGTAAACGTACAGGAAATATAACTTCTAAGTACAAGGCCTATTCAAAAATCAGATAAGCGATAGCTTGGACGTGACATTACAATGAGTAATTGATTTGACCTTGTAAACTTATCGTTTAATACCCAATTTGAAAACAACTGAATAGCTTCATAAAGCAGATTGAGTGCTGTATCTATTTCTGTCGTTTCCCGCCTTCTATTACAGAGAAAATGGGACGATTTATGTGGTCATTTTTGTTCTATATATATTATACATGTACATAAATTATGGCATAGAGTCTCAGTTTGTAGATTAAACGTACATTACACGATGCATACTGATGTGCTGAAATTATAAAAATGTAGACATTCACAGACGTTGAAATGAGAGAATTTCTTTCTGTCTTTCTTTATGCAGGAACATCTGGTTTAGTTATACTGATGAAGCTAATTTAAACAGAGTCCAGGTATTTATTAGAAGAGGAGATTGAAAAACTTCCATCCATTGACTTCCATGGCAACGGAGAATGAGCTATGCATCTTTTAGCTTCCAAATTTGGTCGGCGCGTAGCTGGTTAAAGCCAATCAGAAACCAAGAAATATTTCAGTGAATAATAATCACAATTTCAACAGGGGCTTGACCGAACCCAAACCGAAACCTAGCTACAGGCTGCAGGGTGTGGATGCTTTAGTCGGTGCTTGATATAAATATTACAGCATCTTCATTTCTCACAGACAACCCGGTCAGGTGGGTCTAGAATTTTAAAGAAATGGATTAGTCTAGCTCCCTTGTAGTGGGGGTACAGACACTCACACAATTTGATTCTTGTCAAGGTTCTCGGGAAAGAGCCTGTTCAAGACAGAGCGCATGCAATCGAAAATATGACATCCTTGAATGTGTATACTGCATGAACTGTAACACGCATGAAATTTGTGGGGAATTATTATTATAACAGTCTACTTTTATTTACAATGGTAAAGTTATACGGCATAGGTTCGAAGGCAGTTGTCAAAAATTTCCTACAAGATATTATTTGTGTCACGTATTATATTGTTGGAGCAACCTTGGAATTGCTAATGAGGTAAACCTCGTAACTAGATATTTGAGCAGCTCAACAGACGATTTCGAGCTCTAAAAAATTTTTCCACAATTCTTCATACACTTCTCTCTTTATAGCAAAATATTTAGCGAAACGATCTCACGCATTTATTTGTTGATTTGCTCAAAATTATGAATTCGACCGATTGAGTGTCTTGAGTCATTGTTTGAGTTTCATCCCCTTCCAATTTGCCAGTAGGGCTTACTTTGCATTGTCTTGGCCCTGCTGAGTTGATTCTAATATGCCGGGGTGGTAAGTTTAATCGCGTATTTTTAAACTTAATTTAGACTGCATCCGGCTGCAGAAAGATACATTTGTAGTCAAAACGCGATATTCCAGAAATCTGCCTCAGCAGTCTGCAAATGAGACGGCCTTTGTTAGTTCGACCTCTCTTTACTTTGACTAAGGCTGTACCATGCACTTAGCTGTTTAAAAACCGTAGTAAATTTACCTTGCTTTATGATCGTCTCATTACAGCAAAGCGCTTGTCGAAAATACCGAAGCACAGGAAAAACGCAAATGAACCGCTGTCGTTTTCTCCGTGAAAACACCTAACACTTCACAACAGTACTACAGTGGAACCTCTATATAACCAAGTCCTCGGTATTAATCGAACGATTTTCTTGTCCCGGCCAGTAATTTTAAAATATATGAAAAAGAACCTCGATATATAACGAAACCTTGTTATATCGAACAATTTTTGCCAGTGCCTTGGCACTTAATTGGTTATATCGAGTTTCCAATGTAACTAAGCTTCCATTGTATTTGCATTCATTTGTCTCTTGAAGGTGTGTGTTGGAGTTTAGAAAACTCTTTTTTGCCTGCAAAGCCTTACTGGTAGCGTACTTTTATCGAGCGACATTTTTAATAGGTGCGTTTTTGTATCTTTATACGATTGATCCCTTTTTCACCCACTGCCTTTTTGGCCAAGGAAGTTAAACCATACTGCCCATAAATTGTTTTGAATCTGTATGTGGCAATTTAAGTTAGCACAAATTATACGCCCCTTAATAAATCTCATTGTCTTCGGAACGTATTTTAAGTATTTTTGACCATGCAACTTTAAAAAATTATATCTCTGCTGTTATTTACAGTTCTATATCAAGCTATACCTCATTAGAAAGGGTAACAATTAAACTTTTAGAAAAAAAAATATTTCGGTCTCAGGGAACCCATAATATTCTGTATAAAAGAAAATAAACAAGGCATATTTTTAGATAATTATTTTTAAAAAAATTTAAGAGTGTAATTTTGCCAGAAAAGTTGTATATTTTATGTAATACAGTACAAATATTTTTTTTTATTCAATATCTGAGTAAAATAGCCCGAATATCGGTCGAAAAAACAGAGCGACTAACAATTTTCTACAAATTTATTTTGTGACCCTATCGGATTATGCAAATGAGGTCAGCAAAGAAGCAAAGATTCTTACTGTTTTATTACCTCTATTTTCGCGTTTATTTCGCTTGTTATCCTCCAGAATCCTCCAAAATAATTCGCTTGACTTGTATTTGGTCGAAATTCGTCGATAAAAGTTTTCATTCTTCGCAAAAGCCGCGACAAAATTCTTCCCGACGGAAGCGCCACTTTTACTAGATTTGACAAAATCGTTGCGTGAAGCTCAAAACTCCCCAGGTCCTGGAACTTGGGACATAATTGGCTAAATCTATTGACTTCCTGTGGGCCAAATGTGGAGGCAATCGGAAGTAACAAAATTTTTTGCGAGTGTTGGTCGCGTCATCGACCTAAACTGGTCGAAACGTTCACGTTCCGAAGACAATGAGATTTATTGGCGGCAAAATATGATAATCACTATGAACTGGGTCTGAGCAGCAAACACGCAAAGAAATGGAAATAATATTTCAAGACAGTGATTGTGTTGTCTGAGTTTTACATTTCGTAAAGCAGCTTAATTTTGCAGATCGATCAGTGACAAGCTAAGCGGTCGAAAAATTATGTTGCCGTCGACGCACAGTTTTCAACTGGAATTAGGTGTGGCTGAACACGGTTCAATAGGTTTTTGATCGTATATTACCGTCAATATTACACTCCTTCCCTGTCAAATACGCCTTTTCAAGGGGAGAAATTTAATAGTTCCAAGTGTTGTTTGCAGGATACGATGTGATGTGTGAATGGTCTATGACTTGCAGCAGCTCTCAAAAAATTAAAGATTTTCCAGAGCCAGTCGGCAAAATTAACGAAAATGTCAACTTCGCATTTAGTAATTTCTGATGCAAATTATAACAAGTGTTGAGATCTGCCAAAGACACCGCAGTCTGGTCAAATAAAAGGAGCAAAGTTATTGGAGGACATTTCTGGCGTGAGATTAAGGGTGTGTTCCTTTCGGCGAATCCAAAAACGGATTTTGATCCTAGATTTTCCAGATTTCGCGGTCGAAAGGAACGTGAAATCCGAAAGTGGATTTGTAACCTTGGTAACCTTTCGCCAACGCGTGCAATATGCACGACAGCCTCTCAAAAAATGACGTGTTTTCTACTCTTTGACAAATATACCGTGCAGAATTTAGTGGTCGGCAGTTCGAATAGCGACGATGGAACATATAAAACAGACAAAGAAAGAATGTCGGCCAGTTTGATCCAGTTCCATAGCTCGGATTTTTTTATGTAACACGATCGAGTGCCTGTCGCGTCTACAAGCGAGTTTGTAGTTAGATAGCAGTTCATTTACTTACTTATTTCTGATTTCAAGCAGTCTTTTAGAGACAAATGGTTAGTATATGGATTTTTTAATGTACCAGGAACAATTCTCTAATGTTTTCAGATGTTTTGCGGCAAATGACAGCAACGAAGAAACTCTACGGCGTCTATGGGAATACTTCAACTGGAAATACCGCTGGATCATCGACTAATTTCGGATCCACTGTGAATGGAACAGCGTAGATCACTAATCCGTTAATCTGGATTTGGATTCTTCGGATTTCAAATCCAATGAATCCTTGTTCAAAAAGGATTCACCAGATCAAAAATCCGGATTTGGATTTGCCGAAAGGAACGCGAAATCCGTTCTTAGATCTAAAATCCGTTTTTGGATTCACCGAAAGGAACACACCCTAATTCGCAAGAAAATGAAAGCCGCAGTTTGGTTGTCTGTATTCTGGGAAAGGAATGTACGTCGGGTTGATTAGAAGCAGCCGTTGCCGGTTCAAAGCTCAAATTTCGCATGCACAATATATACTTATATGACATAACATTTTTTAGGCTAAAAGTGTAAAAGTGAGGGTTGGTTCGTTGCCATAGTAACATGGATGATTGCAAACAAGCATAAAATTTTGAAACAAGCGCTCTCACATTGCTCTCTTAAGCCACGTATGTGTGTCCGGGCTTTAAGTCATGTGATATATGAGAGGCAACGTGTGGGCATTTTTATCAGCTTGTCGTCACAGGTTTTTCTTTAAAAGCTTATTGGCTGCATATCTGCTCATGATAAAGTTGTTAAACATGCACATAAATGGCCATAGGTTAAAGCAGTTCGTTTCAATTACATGCTTTTGGTAATGACCTGGGCCTGACTTTGTTGCTTTCAAAAGACAAGCTTAATTTCGACGGCTACGTAAAATAGGCATATCGTCAGCATAATTTTTCGATCAATTACACATTTGCAAATGGCTATTCATTTTGTTGCACTAGCCTCACAGAGACTTCATCAATGTGAGTTAAGGAAACATAAGCAGGATGCATGAGTTTTTGCCAGTATCCTTGCATTCTCATCAGGAAGCCGACTGAAATGCTTTGGAAATTAAGAAGGGTTACAGGGTCGGAATTACATGATTACCACATACACGGAGTCGACAGGCTAGATCGGCCTGATGAAGAAAAGCCTTATTGTGTGGCATCTTTATCTCTAGGATTGTTGAATTTTACTTAACTATTTTAAAACTTGTTTACTTTTTCAGTCTGGAACAGTGGTTCGCGGATACAACTTTGTATTGTCCCCTTTTTTATCGGATGACTAGGTACTATTCTGCGCATGCCGTTTATGTCTTCCTAGTGGGTAAATTGCATGTCTGTGCAGGTCAAAACCTCGCCCTTTTTTATCGGCCGAGAACAAAAGTAGTGCAGTTAAAAGTTTGCAATTTTTCTAAGGAAACAATGCCAAAATACATAAAAAAACACGCCACCATAATTAATACCACCAAAGAAACTAATCCTATTATTTTGCAGGTAATTCCTTCAAAGGATCGACGCATTATGTTTTCCCCCCGGAAAAAGACGACTCGCGGAAAGGCTGAGAACAAAGAGCGAAAGCGGAAGGGACCCTCTCCTATGTTCATTCACAGGCAGAATGCTTTTTCAAGACGTTCTATTGAGGCAAAACCATATGCAGCAGTAGGGACGTGGTTTGTGGGACCTAAGGCCGAGAATTCTGACATATTTACCAGTCTGATGAATGAAGCGATCGAGTCTCATTTTCAGTTTCGTCGAGGGTAATTTAACATCATTTATTCCAACATTTTCCTTTTTAGTCGAGCCTGCTTTAGCAGAGCGAGACTCTAAAAAAGCAAGGGTTTTGTTTTGTTTTTTGGTGTGTCTTCCCCAAATCGTCGGCCATTGCCCCAGCCGTTCCTAGCGGAGACCGTGGAAACTGGGGATAAGAATCGTGACGATGACTGAAACGACGCACAAAATTGATCACATTTCGGCCGTTTGGCAATGATGTAATTTTTTTCCGAGGCCCTTCATTTTCGTGTAATTATACACGCGTATTTAAAAGCTGAAGAGTACTCGACCGTCGATATTATAGCGGGAAATGGTTCATTGAAAACGTTCAAGATAATGATTTTTAAGTGTATTTTATGTTTAGTTTCTACCCTTGTGATCCGCCTTATGTGACAGACGAGGTGAGACAAGCTCCTTCTTTCCAGCTATCCAAGTCAAAAATGGAATTTGAACTGAAGAAGATGCAGAAAGAACTGCACAAGTCGGTGCCTTTCTTCAGCACGAGATATAAGGTGGGTTGTTGCCTCGGTTTGGGTACTTGGCAGATGATTTTATATGCAGCTACAATATGCCATAATTTACAAAACTGCAGGACAAAGGTTCATCCATGACCTTTTCTTAATACTTGAAAACTGGTCTTAAAATAATTTGGAGAGATATCCCTCCTCCCCATTTATTGTTGTACGGCTGACAAGGAGGCGATGCAAAAGTGGATAACACAACAACAACAACAACATAATAATACCAATAATAATAACAATAATAACAACATTTTTTTATTGATAATATAACAATTCTTTATTGGTTACTAAATAAAAACACATATCTAATGTTACAAAGTCGATAATAATAAAGCTATATAAGTGGAGAAAATGGAAGGGAATAAAACAACAAATATAAATAATCTTAAAGCTGTTACATTAAAAAAATGAGTATTTTTATATAAATGCTTTCCTAAAGAAAAAGGGCCAAATGTCTATAAGACGTACTCTTAATTAACACAGGAGAAGAATTAACACGAGAAGAAGGATTTAAAAAAGATAAGAATCCTAAATGTGAATGTTAATACTAAAATCTCGCTGGTTCCTTATCGATTTCAAAGCCTCTACTAATCCTAAATGTGAAAAATATTTAAAGTTCTAATCCTAAAAATCCGGCTACCTAGTTCCTTATCAGTTTCAAAGTTGTTATCTGTAATCTTCAGCGGAGCTGTAGCTCTTCGCGTACAACGCGAGCCTCTCAAGCACAACAGCGCAGACCTCAGGAGGGCAAATGAGACTTTGTCACGAATCCCGACATTGTAGTATTATAATCCTCTCCTTTCTTGGTTGGTAAAAGTTCAGCCAGTCTACTGTGATACCTCTTGCATTTGTCCGCCATTCATCCTATGGTAGTAAATACCAGTGGTGTGAAGGAGCCTTCTTCGACTTCTAGCACCCTACTGGCATACATTCTCTTCTTCTAACTCTCACGCTGCCGTTAGATTTGTTTTGTGGTGTCAGGGTTTTATAAGACGCTGCATTTGGGCATCAAACCCTAACGTCAAAAGAGGCAGTCAATGTCGAGCCAAGCATCGGCTACTGTTCGTACAAGGTGTCAGCACTTCTCCGTTTATCTGCTGAAGTACCGGCTCAATTTGGACGTCATAGTATATGCCATCTGATCATTGCCATTTTGGCTTCCAAATCACGCAGGTCGTTATGTATTTGAATGATGAAGCCTCCTCGTCTGCACACTATGGCGTGGTCTACATCGAAAACACCTTCACACCCACAAGTAGACGGGGTTTCGCTTAATTTTCAATCATATCTGAAATCAAAGCCATCTTTGAATTCTCTCTTATTTAGAGTTAAAAGCCCACATATTTAACTGAAATGACAGCATGTAAGGCAGTTAGAAGCCCCCTTTCTCTGCAACAAGGTCGGCAGCTCTCTTAGTTTGCTCAGGAAGGGAATTCTTCAGTTCCTGTAGGTTGTCTGTAAGGCGCTTATGCTTCTCTCTACGGATACATTGCTACAGTGTACTATTGCACGATCGTCCGGGAGCTCTTGCTTGTGCGCCACTATCTGTTCGACTGGTCGTTCAGTTATCGCCATTGAAGCTTCGTATTCCGAGGCTGCAATATGACATGGGTCTGTGATCCCAAGACCACCCATCGTCCTTACAGGCAATGCTAAACAAACCACGCTCAGCAGGCGTGCAAGTGTGCCCTATGATAGCATTTGGGTAATATCCTAGGCTATAAGTCCCATTTCACTGAGCACGTCCCACCACTTTCTCAGCTCTCTCAGAGGACCAGCGCACGTTGCATCGTCAGCATACCAAAATTGCTTTATAAGGCGTGACGAATTTAAGCGTGTAATTAACGGTTGAAGGCCAATAGCGTACAGACTCATAAAGGGGTCACCCTGTGTAATTCCCTCTGCAGATGTCCGCTCTTTTCCAACCATCACGAATAAGATCATAGGTTCGCTGTAGGTGTTTATGGCACAGGTAGATACAGAGGGGCACAGAATCCTGGTATTATGTACGGTCACAGCCCTGTTCAATGAATTAAACTCATTTGAAGCATCAACTAATGGCGCAAAGTTCGTATCCTCAGCTTCAAATGTACTGTACATGGCGTGAACGGCTGTCTCGCCCCCAATAGTCAGGCTTGCTCACACTCGAGTTGCAGGCATCAATGATATGTTGCTTTGTCTCTTTCTTCGCGCTCTTTCCGATTATTCTCCTGATCACTTCTCCAAAACCAATCGGCCGAACTTCGCCATTTCTTTTTCTAGTGGGATAAGACGGTTTGCCAAAATTGGCTTGATTGTGAAAGGTTTAATAAATTCAGTACAAAGTCTCTTTGCTAGCACCTAGACCTGTGCTCGCTTTTTTGAACGCCTTGCAGCGAGCATCTTTCTGAAACCATTAGCATCTACCCCCGATGGGCCGTCTGAAGATTTAGTTCTTAATGCCGTTTCCCTCACCATTTCTCCATTTATCTCGTGGTATAGGATATGTGGGACTGATCCTCAACAAGACAAAAGTGCAAAGCTTCTTGCTGGGCTTCCTGTGTACTAGGGTGTTTATCCGTAAGTTGTCTCATTATGTCATCGCTCGATGGCTGAACACCCCGACAGTCTTCTTAGCTCAGGCAACGCAGAGCTGAATTGATATGCCCTTCCATAACCAGCTTTGCGAAAATTTCTGCCCGATTCAGTAGTTTAGGTGTTCGAGACTCTGTTAAACGCTTCTATATCACCCGCTTTCACGCAGTAGAGTGTCTATTTCTCCCTCTTTCCATAATATTAGTCTCTTTGACAAACAGTCTTGATGATCATTTTCTTTTGCGATAATAAAATAATAATGACAATACCAAGAAAATAACGACAAACACACTCTCACGCGGCACATTTGCTTGGAAATCTTTCATTATATTATTGCGTGAGCAACCTAAAGACCAGTTAGTTCTCTGCTAACAGAGAACTAATTAATCTGTAGGTTGAGCTGACTTTCAAAATTAACTGTAAGCTCTTAGCTAGAGAGGAGACATATGGTGCGAACAATGTATAATAATTAAGAAAATTATTGATGGTTAACGAATTGCCATTTCAGGGTCATGTGAATTGAGACACAGCAGTCCCAGCTAATATTGGATATATCGCTTCCATTCTGTGGAACCAAAACAACTGTGCTGCCGAGGGAGGTCCAATGACAACAGCGTACGAGATTGAGGCTGGAAGTGACCTGTGTGAGATGATAGGATTGGATAGGGATCAGAGTATGGGGCACTTGGTAGCTGGAGGCTCAATTGCAAACATAGAAGCCATCTGGGTAGCAAGAAATCTGAAATATTATCCTCTCGGGCTTCAAGAGGCTTTGCTTAAAGATGAAAAGTTACGGGGAGCCCGTGAATACGAGGTGAGTTAATTCATGCCAGTTATTTGGACGCGAAAGACAAGAATCAACTCAGGGCGCCAGACTTGTATTTTCTTTTACATGGTTAAAGTTCTTAAACATATCACAAACCCCTGTTTTTTTATTCATATTATTACTGAATTAGCGCTCAGCTTCAAATAAGCTCCTCATCCTTCGAATAAGGTAAAAATTTGAATTATAAGCTCACGTCTTGAAAAAATCAGCCTCACCCCATCCCTCGATATTGAATGCGTATATCGGCGATGAATATAGCTTTGCAGATTTTATCACCTAAGAGAAAGTACCATTTGGCACATCAAACTGTCTAAAACACAGGTTTGTCGAGTTTGTACTAAAAGTACAAGTTTCAATATTTACACCCGGGTCTTTTTATATATGTTTCCCTGTTATCAGCAGCATTCTTGTTCTAACTAGCTTATCAGAGATCACATCATTTTAATATTTTCGACGTAGAAACTCATACCTCATGATACCCCTCAGCTATGGGTAGTTTTTGAGCGGGCAGGTGTGAATGCAGTCCTGACCCTTTCCCTCACCCTAGGGAACACATATTGCGTTAAAGTATTTTTTTAAAAAATTAATTCTTTAGACATATTTGCTGCAAGTACGAGGGTTACATTATTTCAGTTAAATCCTTACTTTCAATTAATATTTACAGATTAACCTGCCTCAAAAGGGCTGTAATATTCCTCTTGTAAATGCCACACAATGGGAGCTACTCAATCTGGATACGGACACCATTATTAAGATGCCGTTTGACGTAGCGGAAAAAGCAGGGCTGAGCCAGGAGGAGTTTAGAAAAATCATGGGAAAATATCTTTACGAGTGCATTGGTACCCAAGAATTTTGCCGCCGACACATGCTGACCAACAGTCCTTGCATAGTAGTGGGAAGCACCTATCATGTGTCCTTTCTGAAAGGAGTAACTATTGCAGGTCTTGGAAAGGAAAATCTGGTTACAGTGCCAGTAGACAAAAATGCTCGACTGGACGCTAACGGTACGTTGAAAATGGGTATTAGCTTTAGCATCTCATAGGGCTTTTTTACATGACGTCATTGTCGCCATATTGCTTTAAAGAATTTCCGAAACAAAATCTTATGTAAGCTTGTTTTCTTTCATTCCATAAATTTGCATAGATGCTAGCCAATGAGTGAAAACACTCTATATAGGTGCGAGAATCCGTTTAGGGAAAAGAAAGAAATAACAATTTGCTCATTATCCTTCGGGAGGAAAAAAACAAAGGAAGAAAGAAAGAAAGAAGGAAAGAGGAATAAATATGTTATTACATTACCAGGATTGCTGATATTCATTTGACCAAGCCTAAAAGCGGAGCTTCTCATGATTCTCCAATTTTTATATGGAAGGTGGCAAGGGAGTGGTGGCACAAAACAAGCAACAGTAAACATGAAAAGCACTATCAAGTATAATTCCCTAATTAGCTTATAAAATCGTTTTCCAGTGGATAGAGATATTACATTCAGCCGATTATAGCGACTCATCCACCTTTTGAAATGGCCAAATGTATTAGGGATGGGAATGTAGAATTTAGGTGGGCATATTTTGTCAATCACTGTCATAAGCTAATGCCACTGCTTTTCCAGTAATTTCTGTCTACGATAACACCTCTCTTCATTCTCTTCTTCACCAGTATTGGAACTGACATTAAAAGAGAAAATGAAGAATCACATTCCCGTGATCAGCGTGATAAGTATCATGGGAACAACAGAAGAGAGTGCCGTTGATCCTTTGGATGAAATTCTTTCTATCAGGGAAAAACTGAGCAAGGAGGTTAGTTTATCATTTTATCTTATTTTGTTCTGATTTCCCTCTCTACAAACATATCTTGGGAGGATGTGAATCGCCTGTCGAGGCACGGTAGGCTGCCAGAAGGCTCTCAAGTTGGGTAGTTCTTTCTTGCTGGGCTGTGTTACACATTTAGACTGATTTGCATAGAGTCAATTAAGGGACAGGCTAAGGAGTATGAAAAAGCTAAGGTAAAGTTGATAATTCCCTAAACACGCCCATTTTTGTATTGCCGCTAAGTCAGAAGTCTTGAATTTTTTTTTTAAGATCACAACGAGAATCCCATAACTTTTTAACATTACACTTTGGTATTCTGTCGGCGGCCTAGGATGAAATGGGGGAAACTACATCCACGATGAACCATCTTTCACCATCACCAAGAGAGAATAGCTTTATCCTCCCTTGCCATCACTGAATCACATTCGTATCTACCGCCTATACTTCATCACTTTACAATATTCAAAGGATAGCTCGACTGTGTGCATTACTATACTATGCAGTTTTGAATCTTTGTTTCATTTCATTGCAGGGATTAAATTTCAGTATCCACGCAGACGCTGCCTGGGGGGCGTACTTTGCATGCATGCTGAGAGATCCGACAGATGATACAGCTATGAAAAATGTCAAAGATGAAGCATTTGTTCCTGAACTCTCCCTTAATGCGCACGTTAAAAAGCAGTTGCAAGTACGTATCCCTCGACAACAACAATATTTCCTTCTCCAGAGAAACATAATTCAACAAGCGGTCAAATCTTTGAATTTTTCTGGAGGTTCACGGAATTTTTAGGAAAAATTCATAGAATGTTTAAAAAACTGGAGGAATGTATATAGCCTTTGGTGAAATAATTGCAAGGTCTTTTGTTTAAGTCACAAAATGGTTAAAACTGTCTGCAACATTTGTCGATATGCGTACCTATTCTCAGATCATAGGTTAGCGGTTTAAGCGTAGTTTTTCAATATTTTCACGTTTGCCACTGCCGCGCTGAATTTGAATTTAAGTCAATCATTTTAGTTTAGCAGGACAGTAGAACGACGTCTGAAACAGGCCTTAAATACCCGTTGGCTCCATGGTCTTAGCTGTCAACTTATAAGCCAAATTTTGATAATTTTGAGATTAAAAAAAATTGACTTGTGTTCGTTAACGGAGGCCTATAATCATCAACAACAACAACACAAATTTAAATTAATAAACAAATAAAATTACAAAAGTATTGCCCGAAGCTAGCAAGGCTATTCAAGGTGGCACAATACGTGCAAAATATAAGAAATAAAGACTAACTTAAGGCTACTAGCTAAGGAAAGTTTACAGTTAGTTACAAATAGATGAAATAAAACTCGTAATATGGATGAGGACTAGATAACAGACTAAAGGAAAAAGAATTAAACAAAGAAGTTGTAAAAGTAGAAACTAATAAGCAAGAATTTATTTTTTCAACATTTTTGGCTAATTTTACCTTTTTAATTAAAGTGGGCGTATCAATATACTTATCTTAGGAATTCAAAATATCAAAAAGTAACTTGCGGAGTGTTTTTTCCTTGTTCTTGGGGAGATGTCGGATGTTAAATGGTAACCAGTAACGAGAATGGTGTCCATACCGATCCTGGCTAATAATTCTACCTTATCCAAAATTCTACCTTAGCCAAAATACCCTAATGGAACTTCCACCACAAGAGTATGATTTAAAGCTAAACAAATACTATGACTTGGCTTTAGAAAGCAAAGTCATAGAAGAGACTGTTTAAACTACAGTGGTTGCAGTGGTATTTTTCATTGGTATGAACACCTATATTTACCGTGGTGAATTTATTTACCCAATTTTAGTATGTGTAATCAAATGGTGACGAGTGAAATTAGGGAATAATTTCACTTGCGTTTTGTCCAAATCCTAATAATTATTAGGATTTGGACAAAACGCAAGTGAAATTATTCCCTAATTTCACGAGTATACCATTTGATTACCTATTAATATCATGGGTGACGAATTACGTTAGCAATCTTGGATTTTTGACATGTTTATCCTGGATCGTATCGATCGAGAGCTCCTACACTCTCTCGAAAGTTTAGAGCTTAAATTTGGCTTAAGTTCAGAGTTTTTTGCCAAAATACCTGTTAGAATCCTTCTTAATGTGCTCTTTCGTGTGTTCAGGTTTTCTAAAGCGTCTTTTTGTCCTCTGACATCTTCATTCATTACAGTTAAAAATTTCGTCACCATCTTGACTCTGAGACGTACGAAAGGTTGCCATGGCAATTTTGTAATTTCACATGTGAAATTACAAATTAACGCTGAAATTTCGCGCCAAAATTAAGGAGTGATTCGTCACCTATGATATTAGGAGTATAATACAAAGGATCTTGCCGTTTGGGGTTGCTTTTATCTTGGCTGGTGTAGGATAACCCCAAAGGCTACAGGGATCGATCAGCTCTGCACTGCAAAGTCAGCTGTTCCGCCAATTGCAGGCCTGACTCTCTTTCTGTGATGTCATTTGGTTAATGACTTTTCCATCACTGGGCGATTGACCAGCATAAATTAGCCCGTTATGAAAAGTTAGCTTAGGAGCAACAAACCTATCAAAATGTAATTTGATATAAATAATAGCATACATTCAAGTTTAGTGATCACTTCGGTTCTATATTAATTTTGTTGAAGGATCTTAAGCACTGCGATACCATCACCTGCGACCCACACAAGTCTGGATTCTGCCCGTACCCAGCTGGGGCTATATGCTATCGTGACAAGAATCTTAACAATTTCCTCAACTTGTCAAGTGGCGTGCTGTACTACCACGGCGACTCTAACCTTGGCGATGTCGGTGTCGAAGGTTCAAAACCTGGCGCAGCTGCTTCCGGGGTGTTGCTGGCCAACAAGGTACGCAATATCTTTTGAACAGGCTGCATGCACGATATTGCGTCATTTCCAATAACCAACAAAACGATTGGTTCGTCCTTCTGAATATAGTAATGCTTTACACCATACAAAGAAATCATTGGGGTATTAAAAAGCAGTATCTTGATGTATCGTTGCAATAAGACCCCAATATAACCAATCTAAGGAATCCTAGTCAAGTAATAAAGCATAAAGGCAGCGAAAGTGTGAAAATCGTTGGGTTGAAATTAAGTTACTACCTGTTGAAGGTATTAAAGACTGACATTATAAATGCCTGCAAAGGTTATGGGTGAGTGGAACCTTTGTATGTCAAGGTGCAAAGGGACTGGGTGAACACTTCAATAAAACGTGGAGTAGAGGAAGTCGTTCTCTATACTGAGCTTTCTGGCAAAGCGATTCGTTTGTCTTTTCTCACTGTAGCTCAAACTGCATAGATGGCCCTATCATATACTTGGGTTTTTTGTTTTTGTTTTTATTTCAGTTTCATTTACTACTTACATATAGTTTGTAGGCCCAATAAAATCTATAACATCATCGATGTATTTTTTAGGTCATAGGTCTTCACAAGAATGGCTATGGTCGCGTTTTAGCCGAATGCATGTTTACCTCAAAGATTCTTTACTGCTACTGGGTATGCCTGGCCGAAGACGATGACGACTTTGTTATTGAAACGACCAAGCCCTTACCCTTCGGGGTAACCAAGGCCTTTATAAGGGACAATATTCTTGGTAAAAGCAACGAGGAGCTGGCGAAGGTACTTTATGAACAGTGTATATTAATTGATATTGTGATATTGTGATATATGTGCCATTGAGGTGACAGACTTATGAGAAGCCCAAAAACATTTCGCGCTTTTTCTTTATGACGAAAATATGTACCTACTCACCCAAATAGGAAGCCTTTCGATGTCCACCTTGATAAAATAAGATAAGATACAATTGTTTATTTCGAAAGTTCTCCAATTGGGTGAGGGGAAAAAAAATTTTACGAATTAAAATCTTTTTGTAAAGCTTCCCAATGAAGTATTTATACCCTCTTAATGAAATAAAAAATTTATGGCTCTTTGGAGAGCACTTTTGTTTGATTGAAGTAACCACCAAAGATGTGATCTAAAACGCAGATCTACAACTTATTTCGATTTAAAGGCTACAGTTAGGAAAAAGTCACTGTATATTAATATACAGTTACTGTATTCGTTTCTCTCTCTTTTAGGATGAAACCCTGATGACATTCCTTCAAGAAATTGGCCCCGACACTCTAATTCCCTGCTTTTCAGTAAATATCCGTAGTAATAAGGATGTCAGTATTACCAATAATATAATCCAGGCAATTTTCAACGATCTTTGTCACATGTCTACTGGAGAATCAGAGCAGCGGATGCCTTTGATTGTGACGACATCCACCATGCAGGACCACAGGCACAGTTCCACTTTAGAGGACTTCAAGGAAAGACTTGGGGTAAGGAGAAAAAAAAGGCATAATTAGTCTGACTAAAAGCACTGATTCTTATTCCGAAGTTCAATAATTATTTCCTTATCAGAAATTAATAAAAGTAGAGACCTTTAGATTCTGAGACGAGTACGACTACGAGTACAAGATTTTCTCAATACTAAGTAGTGCTCGGCGTGAGCCAGCGTCATTTTGGCGGGAAAATGTGGTAGCTGTCGTTACTCTACTACGAGTTTTAGCAAGAATGTCGAAGTGGCGGAAACTAGTTATCAAATGTTAGAAGTTTTATCATTCTGCGATCGGGAGAGGGTGTAACCTCCTTCACTAAAGGTAACATTGCTAACTTTTCTAGTGAAAATGGTAAAATGAAGTTTTCCGGGGAGTCTATATTTTGAGAATACGCGAAAAACTTTAAGTCAAATCTGGTACTCGCAGTCGTCCTCGTCCTTGAATCTAAAGGCCTCTATTAATAGTGATAATGATAATGATGATGGTGATAATGATGACTGTGATGAATTCAATGATAACGGTAATACTAATGGTAACGATAAATTGCTCATCGCCTATCCCTGACCCTTTCGGCCTTTTTCTTAGGTGAATAGACTTTTTACTTCAAGTTGTTAACCAGGTCTGGTTGCCTAGTTACTTATAGACTGTAGTTTTCAAAAGCATTTATCTCGCCGATTTTTTGAAAACCAACCTACCGAAATTTGCAGTCATTTGAGTGAAAAAGGGTCAAAGGCAGGTTTTTAAGCTCGAGAAGTTCCAAAATCACGGTGACGAAGGGAAAGGAGAGGAGAAAAAGAAAGAGCGAGGAGAAGGAAAAGAAGAGAAGAGAAAAAAATCAATGGTTGCACTCCCAGTTGTTATAACAGCTACTTTTGAGATAGTTTTTGGCCGAAAAAAACTGTTGGACGCAAAACGTCCTTTTGGCAATAACGTTTTCAAAAATCGGGCTAGATATTGATAACGATGGTTCTAAACGGCCTTTTTGTAAGTATCCTCCTAATTCCTCGCACGTGCTTCCATTGTGCTTTTTGTTTGATTTTTGTTGTACTTTCTTTCGAATTAAATAAAGCTTGACACAACCAACAAGGATGGAGTCAAATACGTCATCACCACTTGCTTAGATCCCTGGTCCACCTCAATGGAGTTCATGGATGACATGGCTGCTATAATGAGAAATGCAATCCTCAGCGCTATTGGAACTGTAAGTGTTATTGCTTACCATCAGTTTTAGGCACTACATATTACGCAATTAGGCATACTTTCTTTGGAGAACAGGATTACGCTCATAATCCTCATTCAGGATCATAGATTACACTCGCCTTAGAGAGTTAAACGAGGTTGCATCTTAAGTCTATACTGAGTTCAAATTCTACAAGCCTTAAGCAAGCGATAGACGAGAGGACATCCCAGCTTTACGTGAAGTTCATAACTCGATTTATTTGACGAAAGGCTTCACGGATTAACCCTCAAAACTTCATCGGTGATCGTACCTCTGCCCATATTGCACCTAAAAGATAAAAAAGAAAGGGACTCGGCTCAGCTTCCCTCCGAGAGTTGGTTCAACACTACCGTGAGTCGTATTTTTAGCTGATTCACCATTATAGCATTGTAGGTTGCAGGCTGTAGTAAAGCAGACGGGAACATCCTCCTCTTTATCAAGTCTTGAGCAACCGCGCACGTACGTTACAGTCTTCGTGTTTCTTTTTCAATAGGTTACTGACCCACCAGACTACCACTCTTTTGTAAGTGTAGACAAGGTGAATACAGTGGACAAGGAATTATATGTTTGCTATGCAGGCAACTTTAATCAGGTCCAGGCTCAGCGACGGTATTTCGTTGTCGCCAAGTTCAGTTTCACCTCCGACGATGACATGGCGACATTTAAGCAGAAATCTGAAAGTGGGTCGTCACCAATCGTTTTGCGAAGTTCTTTACAACAGGACAAGAAATCACTCCACGACCTTTTGTTTAACGATTCCGAAGAAACAAGTGAGAGCGAGAAGTTCGACTTTTATGTTGGTCTTCCTGCTGCGACCAGTGAGCCTTTCATGACAGCAGACATGAAGATTGTTGACGTCCCTCGCTATGACCATTTTGACAAAGCTGATGACGAATATCCTGAAAATGCAACTTACATCTTGTACGGTGACACAACCAATGCTTACCTGTTCCACGCTCCCACTAAGTGCCCCGATTACCTGCAGGTAAAAGCCGTTCCGACAAAATAAAGATTTGCATAGCCATTTATATTAAAAAAGATTCTACTGAAAATAACGAATTCAAAACTATTTAGCTTCTGGTTAGCTTAACTAACACTTCTCTGTAACAAACCCAATGGAATCTATATCTTCACCGGATTTACAGAAAGCGTCACCGGCCTGGCTTATTTTCCAGTGGGTTATTCTTTTCTGTAGTACGGTGTATCTCCCATAAAAGCTAAAAGATTTGGCAGGCTTTACGTCTCAACCTGTATGAAACCTTTGAAAACCCTTTACGTTTTTCTTTAGAGAAAAGAACTAAAAGGTTTACACTTTTAAATGCGAGATCGATTACATAGTACCTCAGTGTACCCCTTCGTGTTCTTTTGCCAATGGTAAAAATGTCTTTTTTTTTTTTAAACAAATATAAATAAAGAAATACACTGGTTTTGTAGACGTCACGGTAGAAAGTGACCGGGAAGGCAAAAAGTTAGCCTGGCAGAAACAAACAATTCGCCAGGTATCGGGGAGGCTACGTTATCTCTGGGTTAACTTAATTAAACCACTGGGTATAGTTTCACTAGGTCTGTTACAGAGGGGTGTTTAACTGGTACAACTGTTTGGAGAGCTAACTATCAACTCAATTCCCCGACACTCAGGATCTGCATAAGAAACCTGAAGAAGAGCTGTTGCCTAATTGTCTCCCATCCGTAAATGGTAAGACCACCCTGTTTATTGTCGGATGAGGGCTCTGAATCGTAGGCTCCATGGCACAGAACTTGTGTGTTGTAACAGTCTCTGGCAAAGATCGTCTTTAGTATGAATCTCTAGGGAACAATTACATATCCAAGCCCCATTTGTGATAGCCTTACCACTTTGATGAATGGTTAATTGAAAATCATAATTGACGAATATAAAATGAAGACAGGCACGTTTCCTTACCTGTATGAAAATCTTATAGGCCATCCCTAGTTCCAACAGCTGTCACTTTCAAAACGAGGCCAAGGGCAAAATTGCTTTATGGTGAAAATGAATTTTATATGCACAAAAATAAATATAAATATATATATATATATATATATATATATATATATATATAAACTTCTGTGTCGAATGAAGATACTAAAAACAATGAAAAACGAAAGTCTTCTTTGCTTTTGCGCTACGCGTTTCACCGCTGTTGCGGCTCTTCAGGCATAGCAAAGTGTTTTTATTAACTTATTACGTCACAGACGTAATTGTAATTACAATTATAATGGCTCTTGTAAAACGGAAAGATAGTAAACTGAAAACCCTAACCTCAACGAACTTGATTTACGTAATAACATGTGCAGGATGTGGACATAATTATATAGGAGAAAGGGGTGATGTCCTGAGAAATAGAGTGACAGTTCATAAACAACAAATCAGAGACCCGCACACACGTATGCTGGGAGTCAGTAAGCATATCGATGAATGTGCGGCGGGATTGACTCCTCAGTTTACTATCTTTCCGTTTTACAAGATTCTCAGCCCCTCCGAGGGCATGAGAAAAAACAAAGAGAGGTTTTTTATTTTGAAATATAAACCCGTTCTTAATGATTTGAAATTACGCTTATTGCTCGCGTGCTACGAATTACAAGAGCCATTATAACTGTAATTACAATTACGTCTGGGACGTAATAAGTTAATAAAAACACTTTGCTATGCCTGAAGAGCCGCAACTGCGGTGAAACGCGTAGCGCAAAAGCAAAGAAGACTTTCTTTTTTTATTGTTTTTAGTATATATATATATATATATATATATATATATATATATATATATATATATATATATTATAAAATAACTGAGATAGTACGCGTGATCTGATTGGTCGAAAACCTATGGTTTATTATACCGGTAAACCCATAGAAAAAGGCATCCGGACCACGAGCCATAAACAAAACTGACTATTGATCTGCAAACAACGATTTTAGAAAGGCTAAAAAAATGAACAAGTTACTTACCCAGCCCTTCTAAACATTAAAAGTGTTGGTTTCCACATTTTATTACTGAGCTTCACAATTCGCTACTGCCATAGCTTTAGAAGTTATAAAGTACAAAGCTGGAAAGCAGTTTACATTTCACGACGATGCCAAATCGCAGAGAAAGACAACAAATGTGTGAATTTCTTGTGTAGAAAGTCTCTAGGAAAACTTAACCATATGCCAACCAGCAACAAAACGGATAGTTTTAGCATTCTTGATTTATTTTATGTCAAAATTAAATTCCTTCATGAAAGAAATTGTTCCAAAAAGAGATCTCTGATCAAGATATGGTACAAAATCGGCCGCTGTAGGTTGTAAACAAGCTGCCAACGATGATGAAAGATGTCAGAGTTTCGGCTGGTTTTTTCCAACATTTGTACAAATTATTCGGTGATATCGATGCCATAACCTACCTCAAACCACCTGACTTCACAAATCGACAAACATTAACGCCAATATGTGGCTACGGCAAAAAAAAACCACCGGCCTTTCTCCACCACTGACAGATTTCCATCGGTGACTGTACGTGCATGTAAAGTTACATGCGACAACTTCGCAAATGCAGCCACGTCGCAGCGTTTCTTGATCATGATAAAGCCCAGAAAACAGATCTTAAACCACTGCGGCTTGTAAAAAAGTGAATGAAGTCCTCCATTACAATAGCTGCCAGTTCCGTCTGTAAGCACGAAATTCTTACGGATCGGCTCAACAAAATACAGCTGCGTACAGTCTGATGTTCAATTTTCTACTTCTTTAGTAAACAAACCATGAACGTATTGTTTCATTGTACGTGCGCATGAATATGTGTTGACTTTTCCTGTAAAACAGCTTTCATAAGTTATCATGTAACGAGTGCAAAAACTCGTGTTTTGAAGTACTGCTGTTTGTTGTTTGACTGAACTGAGTTTTGAGAAAGTTCTGCGCTATTAAATCGTGAGTCATGATTGGCTTATGATGACTTTAGAGAGAAGACATAAATCGATCACGGTACTAAAACCATATTTTTTACCTAAAAGACTCCACTCTACAAAAGGTTATTTTATAAAAACAATAGACCACACTTTCAATGGGTTTACCGGCGTGATAACCCACTTGGGATGTTGGGAGAACACTCAAAAAGCTTGTAAATCACTCGCCTTCGGCTCGTGATTTACAAGCTTTTCTCGTGTTCTCCCAACATCCCGCGTGGGTTATCACTCCGGTAAACCCATAGAAAGTGTGGTCTATTGCTTAAATATATATATAGTTTATATCAGTGGCTTTTCACTTAGCCTCGCTTTGAAACAGAGTCTTGAAGCAACCTGGACATGGCCTATTTGTGGGTCCCCCTTATCATTATTCCATACATTATTATTTTAAGGCGTTCTATCTGTTCACGTCCTTTGGACACCAATTTGCCGCCTTGTTATTTTTAAATGAAACAGGACTTGGTAATTAACAGGTAATTAAATTCTTGGTTTAAGTTTCAATCCTTTTCTTTTCATGTACGTGTTCGCTTACAACCTTCTTTGTCGTTGGTACTGTCTAGATTGTATGCCTTAAAGAAGTCCCCACTGGTCTTGGCGATATTCAGGAAAAAGAAGTAATTCTCAAGCAAGGCGTAGATGCTGAGATTCTTGGGGTTCCTGGGGCAACGACCGAACAAGGAGGGAAGATTGTGGATCCCCTAATAGATCCCGAAGCAGATCCACAAAAAACATACGACATCCACTTCGTTGGAATTCAGGGGCAGGAAGTTACGACAGCTGTCGCTATAAAGCGGAAGATTTGGTTCGATGGCGAGGTTTTGAACGAATCCGCTGCGACTCCCTGAGTATCTCGTGATTGAAGACCACCGGTCTCCTTGGAAATTGAGAAAAGTTCTAGATAGGGGCCTGAGACCCATCATAAGCACGTTTAGAAAGATGCATAACTAGTGGGAAAGTGCCATATGTGCATGTAGAGTAATGAGATTAACCATGCATTTGATAAAACTTGACAAATGATTTAATGGACTTGATCGATTTGTATGCACAGCCCACTTTAATTCTAGGCTTTCAGAAATTTAAGCATACAGCTTAGTCCTCAAGTAACATTAGCGTGAAACAACGGAGGTTTTAATATAAGTTAAGGTGTATGATTATATACCAGCGATAAAAATCAAGGATTATAATGGTTTTAGGTAGAAAGTACATTTTTCTTTTCCGTTTAAGTTGCATACCGTAAAATTCCGAAAATGAGCCCCTGGGCTTATATTTTTTAAAGGCCCTTTTTGAGGGGCTTATCTTTGGAGGGACTTATATTCGGAGGGGCTTATCTATGGAGGGAAATTTGCGTTTCAAAATTTATTGGGCTAGCCTTATAGTACGTTGGAAGGAAATTAACTGTTTTTACTTTGTTTTAATTTATGTTTGATGGCAATTTCCAAGTACAAGCCCCGGGAGGCTTATATTTGGAGCGGCGATTTAATGAAGGGTTTTTTGCGTTACGAGTTTGTGGGGCTTATATTTGGTAGGGCTTATATTTTGAGGGGCTTATTTTCGGAATTTTACGGTATTCGATTTTACGCCCAGAATAATTTCTATAAGAACTTGTAGTTTAAACTGCCTCAAGTAACCATTAAATATAAAACGCACTCAAATGAAATTAGACCATGAATTTCATCTTACGTACAGCAATGGCTTTTTATAACTTGCCTGGCGAAAAATGGCCACAGGGGAACTCTCGTTTAAAAGTTACGGGTACGCTCGTCAGAAAATTAGATTAAATCCCTAAAGGACACCAGTCTGTGCGTGGCTCAGACTTTCATTTGACCTCTATTTGATTAATAATGATAATAGGACTGAGTGGAGTCCAATTCAGGTCTGTAATCATAAGAGTGATAAACGAAATCGGACGACCGCGAAGCGGGCATCCGATTTGGTTGATCACGGGTAATGATAACAGACTGAATGGGACAATTACACGAAGTCCTGTTACCTATTAATTATAAGAATTACAATTTCCGAGAAAATAAATGCATTCTTTTTTGGTGAAAGAGCTTTTAACACCAAATGTCCAAAATTAGGGAAAATATCACGGGCGGCGACACTGTCTAATGTTACAAATTCGTCCATTTTGGAAAATCCTTAGTTTGGTAGGGTAAGCGGTTGTCGCTATGGTTGTTGTAATAACTTCAGTCTGTGATTGGCGGATTCGCCTGAGGGCCCCTAATATGATTGGCTAATGTAACTGTCCGATTACAGGTGTCCGATTACAGCCTACTGTCCGATTACAACTCTGCACAATGATTAGTGAAAAATAAAGCAGTTAATGCACCAATCAAATTTGAGGAAATTGTATGAATTTCCCACCGTTTGACGGCAATTTGCTTACCCTTAACCCAAAACAATGCTTCTGTGGGTAAATATTGGACACTCCAATTGAGGTAGCAAAACCAAAGTCTGCAATTTCTACCACTTCGCATTTACCATCTAGGGGAATTAAGGGGCTTGGGAGAAGAGGGGGAGCAATTGAAATGAAAGGGTGAGTGGTCTCGCTTAGGAATTCGATCACTTGAATGTATCAGGCATAAATATGACTAATATGGCAAAATCTCAACTGATTGTTAGGCCAACAAGACTGGCGGCCGGCTTATAGATAAATTATCCCGTCATTGCCAAAGGGCCATTCATACGTGAGGTTATTAATATCTTGGTTATTTTCAGATCCCCCATAATACTTTCTGTTTTTGCCCTACATTTTGTGTAAGTTATTGTTGTTGTTGTTGTTGTTGTTGTTTTTTTTTGCTCCTTGGGGCATTTGAACACAAGTAACCTTTTTGGGGCAAACAGAGTGTATTGTTAGAAACTTAACAAGAAGAGATGTTTCTACCAAAACACTTCCAGTCTTACTTCCACTCAGAGACAAGATACGCATTACACGCGGATTGCGCTGACAATTGAAAATTAATGGTCTATTTGGAATAATTTTCAACCAATGGCCTTATATCAGTTCAGTTGTGTTGTTTCATAGGCATCCCAGTTCGAATTTCTGAGAAGATTGAAACGCGTTTTCCATAAATGTCGATTTCAGGATATCCGGTCCAACAAACTAGCCGAGTTTCTGCCCTAAAATTCATTCGTCGCTTTCATACCAGCGTGAGATTTGCCATACCAACATCGATCATCCCTGGAATAGTTTCCTCAGTAATTCTAAATAGAGCATCGATCATGAAAAGCTTTCTTGCCTTGCGTACCGAAAAACGTCAGGTATTCACCACACTTACATTGCAATGGGCTTTTTTTTTTATTCTTTATGGCATATCGTTGTCCCCCGTGTTTAAAGTATCTCAGGTTTGTCGGGTGAAAGCAGGACACCGAATTTTCCGCGGTAAAAGTGCCCCGAGTATCAGGACCAAACGTTCAACCTCATTGGTCCACACTGAAAATTGGCTTAACTCATGTCACGGCTTACCTTCTCTTTATGACAATCACTTACACCGTTCAGAAATGTCTGCATAAGAATGTCTTATTTGCGTGTTCATCATAGCATTAAAATATTTCTAGCAAACCAATTTGGAGATTGCTTGATTTTTTTTTGCCATAATTTAGCGAAATCAGATTGCTTTTCCTTGTCAAACTCTCCTGTCCAATAACAGCTCTGTTAACATGACATTTAAGTCCAAGCACCTGTTACCCGTGAAATATTGTTTAGAATCATTTTACACAAGAGGCCCTCCCTGATTCATGCAATCATTAGCTATTCAAGGCAGTTACCTCAGAAATTCTCAGTACATAGTGACTAAAAGGTAGTTATAGAGGAAGGGAATACAATTTGGCAAGGGGTAAAGCCTTCAAAAGAAGATCTTGGGTGAAAATGGAGCAATGTTTTTTAGCACGGCTGGTGGTTGGATTTGCTATGGTTGTCATTTCCACTGCAGGTAACAAAGGAGTATTGAATAGCTTAGTGGATTGTTCTCTAGTTAGTGTATAGTTAATTGACTGTGCAGTGAAGCATGTCCTTAGTAAAGGTAACTTTTCAATCAGAGCATTTGAATCACAGCAATTTATTACTTTCGGGGCTAGAATACGTTCACTCTTCACGCCGGCAGTGATTAATATTAAATAACATAATGTCATTTATAGTAAAACTAAGATTTAGACCATGGGTTGAAGTTAACGTGCGAAACTTTAAAGAAAATTAAAGGAACCTTTTAGACTTGGTCTACTCACAGTCTTACAAAGATATTTAATTTTGCTCACTACCACTTTCTCAGTTAAATTCAACGGGGTGGGTGATCAAGAAGTCAATAATACCAGTTGATGTTGATCAGCCTTGTTCACATCGAGTGCATAATTAAAAAGCTAGTTATAAATCCGTAAGGTCCAGATTCAGTACCTGGTTCTGGCAAGGGTTAGAGACGAGACGTGAAGTTACAATGCCGTGAAGCAGAAGTAAAAAAAAGGAAAAATGTGCCAGGAGTAAAACTTTTATTAGATATCCTCCAACTTACTGAGCAATGTTTGCTAGATCTTTTCTGCTGAGTATATTTTTTCTCTGTTTGATGCTAATAAGTTAAGAGGCAAGTAAATAGCGCTTACACCCTCTCTAATTAACGAAGGCGCAGAGAGTCAGAGACTCAGAGTCCAAAATCACGGAAATTGCAAATCCAGAATACCGGTATTCAAATAAAACTCGGAAGTCTTAATGAGACTTGGATTCTTTTCAAGATTAATGTATACTGGTTAATCTCGCAGCTAAATGAACAAAAAAAAAAAATATTTAAAACCGTTTATTTTAATAAAACTAACACCGCACCGATTCCTCAATAGCATTCGAACGAAGGTTTATAAAAAATCATTGGCACAACAGTAAAACTGACTGAAAGAATTCATGTTTATCTTAATTAAGAATTTGTTCATACTTAGCGTGCGTATATAGAGTTATGGGTGCACGCGGGAAGTTTGGAGAGCACGAAAGATGCGTAAGAGTTGCACGAGGCGATAGCCGAGTGCAACTCTAGCTTCTTTATTCGTTAACGATCAATGGAAACTAAGCAGAAACAAAGGTAAAAGAGTCTTAAAGTTCACCTAAAGTTAAAATACTAACATGTTCGTAAGAAGTCCTGGAGTATGGTTTCGATTTGCTGAAAAGATGTTTACGTTTTGCTCGGCGAAATCCAGAAAAAATGTTTTTAGCGAAGACGACTGTCATCCTTCTTTAAACTTATATTCATTTACGAACATTGGCTGGTCTTACGGTTTCTTGAGAAGACCTGGCAGCAGTTGTTTTTGTGAGTAATAAATTTATGTCTTCTTGTGTAATTTGTGTTGTTATTGCGAGAGAAATTTTCCTGCTTCAGTCGGATTGTCCAGAGATAACAAAGTGCATAACAAATTTAAAAACAACAATTAAAACGGAAATTTTGCCTTTAAATGTTGTTGATGACCAGTTGGTGTCTGTTCTGTTCCCAGTGAATGTCTTTAGGCCAAAATTTGCTGCAGCTGGTCTTCGACAAATTTGCGAAACCCGCAACTTGCAAGTTTTTTTTTTTAATTCGGCTTTATTTTTGCTGCTTGTTGGATCAGGACCTAAAAAGTCAATGCCGATAGAAAAATCGGGCAGTTCTTCGCTGGTTTCTTCCATATTTTTAAGAGAAAGAAAAGTGCACTGCAGCTTAAAAGACAACAACTTTGCAGCCAGGTAAAAAAAATGCTCACGTCATCTTATTTACGCACGCCCGTGCGTAAATAAAGATTTTGTTCATAGCGGCTCAATAGGACTTATATAGGGCAAGCACGCGCGCTATGTTATAACACGAGATTAAACATAAATAGCTGGTTTTTATGTCATCAATCTTTATAAAAACCCTTTTTTTTCTTCAAAGATCCACAGACACAATTTCAATTCCGTCGACCAGCCTTGAATCCAGTTAACGGACAAATTCGCAACTTTGTCCTAAATAGAATTGGCGGTGTAAGAGGTAAGATTTTTTGTCGAGTAGGAAGAAAAACTTAAAACCAATGATTGAATCTATGATAAAGCCAATTATCGTCTAAAGACATCTACAGGTGTGTAAGAGATCGGAGGTAACATTTTCCTTTAATCCTAAGGTGGGCACTATCCCCCAGTCTCTCCCGATTCAAGAAGGGAACAGCTTCCTGGAGACTCTCGGAATTTTATTCCCAACAGATTTGACATACCAGCAAGTAAGTTACCATGGTAAAGTTAAGAGTGAGAGCGTGGTCCATAAATGAGTTAAAGGCTGAGCGGTACCTCCTCTGACGTTAATGACGCTATATGTCTAGGCCTGTGTGATAAAAAACGTTAACTACATTTTGAAATCTCACCAGACAGGAGTAAGGCAATAAAAACTAAAATTTGAGTCGTTGTTCCCATTAGTACCATTATGATTGTACCCCGATGTTAGTCAGTAGTTATTACAGTAACTGTAAATGATAGAAAATGTCTCTTTTAATGGACTCTTTTTTTTTAATTACATACTGTTAGGAGTTTTCCATTGACCAAAGGCAAAAATACATAGTGTCATGTTAAACAACATACAATTTTTGTTGTATAAAAACAATAACTTGAAAAAAAAAATCATCAAAAAAAAAAAAAGAAATCTGAATCTGTCTTCATTTCATTGTTTTCTTGCAGGTGTTATTGACAGAAAACAGGGCCCACCAAAAGGTACAAATAATTAGACTTTAAGTTGGGTCTTAGTTGCATGTAAGCAAGTATGTAGGTGTAGAAAGGCCTTGGCCTTGATAGTTTCAAAAATTCCCACTCTGGAAAGCGTTTTTGAAAAGATGCTTTTTCGCGGTGACCGTTTTCACTGGATACGTGTGGATCGACAGTAGGCCAAACCGGAAGAAAATAAATATCCGATTTCAAACGCCAAGTACATTTCTGTAGGGCAAGCCGATGCCAATTTTTTATGTCTTAATAAATATACTAAATCGTGATAAGTTCTTCAGGTGGCTTACTGGGAGTGAGTTGTTCCGTTGTCCTTATAGTGTTTTATCGGATGTTTTAGTTCCTAACAAATCGACATAAGCGGGATTTTGTTCAAATTGGGAGTCCTGCGTGTGTACACGAACAAATTTGAACTGGTAGTTCTTAGTATATTTCACGAATTCATGACATACATTTTTCTTTAGCGACAGTTTATGAAGTGAGCTTGTCTACGATAACATATAGGTTTGTTTCGCATTGCGTCTCCAGTGGACCTCTTTTCATCCAGGGATAAGAATTAGTGTCGATAGGACTGAGGAAGGCATTATACATAATTCTTTTTTTATATATGTATAGAAACGTTCTCTTTCTTCTTATTATTATTACGAACATAACCAGCTGTTCTCGAGCGAGGCTTAAGTGTTATACATGACATTCACTAAACTGCGCCAATTTATTTCATCTGCAGGTATCAATGCCTTGTCCGTATTTATTGAGGATAAATCTCCAACAACTTCCTTCCATGACTTGCACTTCAGCCAATGATGACTCTAAAACTCTTTTTTTAAAATCGTTTTCTTTTAGGATGCATTGGGACACAGGATATTTGTGGATCGTTCGCACCAGCTCCAGCTCCAGCTCCTGCCTTACCTATGGCTCCTGCATATCCTTCACCCGGCGCCTACACAGGATATCCTCCACAAAGCGCCTTCCCAGGAATGCCACCAGATCCTTACAACCCCCAGGGATATCCTGCGTCCCCTAATATCCCACCTAACATGAAGGCATTGGCTCAAAACACAGGAGCTGCTGTAGCTGCGAAAGCAAAACTGCTGGGTGGCTTAAATCCTTTGAAGAAGTTCGTTCCACACCTTCCTCCTTTGGGGCGGCCACAGAAGGGTAAACCTCCCTACAATCCACCCCCTCCCCAACCGGAGCCTCCGGTTGCAGGATATGGGCAAGGCACAAGTCAAATGCCATATCAACAATCACTAAGCTACAACTCGCAAGGGATGGTGCCACCACAATCTGCTGGATATGGATCTCAGCCCACTGCTGGATTTGCTCCACCTGCCTTTGCCGTTAAGTATCATTATTTATTTAAAAAATACACAAACCTAATTCGATCAGAAAACGTTCCAACGTTTGCGACAACAACTATATGGTGGTAATACCTAACATTTACGCGTTAATGTTGAAAGATGAACGTCCGACAACTGTTTTGCTAACCTTTGACGGAGACCTGACTGAAATAATCGGCATGCCTGTTGTTTTGTTTTTAGCGAGGTAATTAAGGTGCCTAACAAAATGCTTGACAACTTTAGAGAAAACGTACGTTTCATGCAAAAACGTTTAAGTTGATCTTAAAAATTATTTACTTTAATTGTTATTTACTAATTTGCTTCCCAAACTGAGGATGGTTGTTTTAAAAGTTGTTCAATTATGATCTTTCTCTCATCAGTATCAGATTCACAGTCACTGATTAATTTGCATCGTTTTCTCAGGCACCTCAGGCGCCTGCCCCGTTTGCTCCACAGCAACCTCATTCAGCATTCAATCAGGCTCCTTTTCCCATAGGAGCTCCGCAACAAGACCAACCTCAGTTAGCACTAAATGACAATGCCCCACAAGCACCCCCTCCTCAACCGTCTTTCCCTTCGGAAATGAGTCAAGGACCAGTGTATCCAGGGCAACAAGCGTCTCCTGATGGTAACGGAAAACTGTATAGTTTGCCTTGCTAGATCGCATTTTGAGTTCATCTACGGCGCATCAAAAGATTGAATAGGAAGAAAAACAACTCCAGCTGCTATTTTTTTCGTTCAAAGAAATATTTTTGCAAGTGCTTGCCTTCTTGAATTGTGTAGCCGTCTCGTAAAATATCGGCGTTTCTTTTTGTTTGTATATGTATCTCATAGAACTCTCTCAGCGTCATAAATTCAAGGAACCAATTTGTGACTTACACAAAAACTGCTCCAGACAAAATTTACTGAAAGACAGTCAGGCTATCAATTACCAAATATCGTTAGCCGCAAAAGGAAGAATGTTAAACCATACACCTTTATGACGACCAGTAACACCCTAAAATCATTTAAATCCACAGGTTCCTTTGATATAGCAAGAAAGAGAATGATGGCTTTAAAGATAAAAGGCCTAGCGAAGAGATTTGGTGTTCCCAGACCAGTTGTGAGGTCAAGACTGGTGCCCAGACCCCTTTATAAAAGGCATAGCTAAATACGTTGGATACTTCATACCCCACATGCAGTATTTTTCTGATTTTCAAATAACTTCATCTTTGACAGAATCGACTACCTTTAAGTAACGGTTAAGGATAGTGGATACATCGTGACGTCATAAAGAGCATGTCTGAATCTCGTCTTCAGCGTGCATTTCTGGACATAACTCCCAAATGTCGATCGAGAGGTTTAAAACCTGGATTAACTTAATTTTTTCTTTATTTTACTTAAATCCCTCGTAAACCTTTAAATAAAGATTAACGTGGCCTCTATCATTTCTTCTCGTTAAGGCCATTATAACGTTATAACTGTGATTACCCTAGCAATAAAGCTTAAATTGAACAGGTGCTGAAGTCAGATAGTTTTTAATGGCCTTAAGTTTTCTGGAAAATTAAAGAGTAAAAACAATACCATATCATCCGTAATTATTAGAGACTGTGTGAATGAACACCTCTCCCGAATGGTCAATCTCTCCATGCCGTCGTCAAGTCAAGTCGTCAAGTTTGACACCCTTTGCGGTGAACGCCTAAGAGGAACAGCTGTTTCCAGCAGTGTCCTGTCCAGGGGAGATTTGGGTGTATTATGATCATAATTTTTCCTGTAATTTTGTAAGGCCTTTAAGCAGTAAAACAGACCAGGTGCTCACATCTCGTTAGTATTTTTTAATGTACTTACAATTCAAGACTGCATACAAGATAATGAAGACTAGATCATTCACCACTTAACAATGTCAAGTAAATTGACTTTACTTTGTATTGCTTATTACAGGGTTAAAACTACTGACAGCGCCTTCAACAATAGCTTTCGGTTGTTTTTCTTTGATTCTTTTAATTTCCTTTTTCCTACTTTCTTTCAAAGTACATTTCAAGCAATAGCCCCAATGAATGAAATTTACAATTGAAACATCAACAAAATTGAAAGGAAAAAAGAAAAGCATTAACGCTATCAGTAGTTGATGGTTGTTCCATCAAAGTAGATCTTTCTATCAATCTTGACCGTGGTCTTCATCTCAACTCCATCAATTCCAACAAAAGTGGCGTGATACTTGAGTTTCTCTAGTGGGTCACTTGGCGTTCCAGCGATGATTGTTGGCGATCCGGAAACGTCGGGAATCTGAACCTCAATACCCTGCTTTAGCAAAAGGTCCGGATCTTCTTCTGTGCCAACTCCTTTTGGAATATCATCCAACTGAACAACCTTTAAATAAATACAAATTAAAATTACAAACGATCAGTCGTGGCGCTAACTGCAAGAGCAAACCTTAACTTACTTAGAAATTTCATTTTTTTGAGCACTCAGAACAAAAATAAACACTGGTACTTCATTAGCCATTGTATACCAGTTAACATGAACATCAAGGCCCTTCGTTCGACTTGAAATATAACATAAAAGAAAAACCACAAAGTCTTCCTTTATAACCATGAGAGGAAACAGGGGTCTTTTTTGCATGAGCATGCGCGACTGCTGACTTGGCAAAGGGCACGCGACCATCTGACAGCGACCCTGGTGCTTAGTCATAGGAACCAAATTGTTCACTTTGAAAGCTTGTTTGAGATTGAAATGGTAGCAGAGACTTAAGAAAGACCTTCGTTGTACAAAATAAGTAAAGATCTGGTGACGATTTAAAGTGGAGACTGATGCGCTAAACAAAGTGAAAGAGCAAGTTTCTCAAGGATGTCTGACACGAACATGGACGCTTGTTGTTGTTTGGCGCTTGACTCGTGTCTTGATTCCCCTTCAAGAACCGCAAAAGTCTGGCATAGAATGCATTGATGATGCGTAGCTATTGAGCAAAATGTTCTCTATTTAGTGTTTGTCTATAAATCGGACGTAAATTAGTTTCTCGATGCCGTAGAGGATTTCTGTCAATAATTTGTTGATAGCTGATTTAACCATATTTCGAGAGCTGATTAATAACGATCAGCGGGCGACTACCAGGGCCTTTATCAGTTGAAATAGAAAGTTAATCCCTTAAGTATTTTAGCGATACAAAGTTTGTTTATCGGAAAATTGTAGAACTTCTTGTTTTTTTGCGTGGATTAACATTGTAACGCATCTTTTACAGGAAATTGCTTTAAGCCAGAACTTAAGAGAAGAGCGGTCCGGTTGATTTTCCTTGATACACAGATTTAGCTCATTTCTCGTGTGTTGTAAGACATTCATGTACCTATACTAAAACCACAATCCGTTTGATCGGATCTCTTTATTTTTCAGAGTTTTACGGAAATTAAATTTCACTCGACCGAAGGCCTGTCGTGACACTTTTCAAGACGTTAATTTGAGGCAACTTTGCCGGGCAATTTACAACAAACTACGGGACTCAGCAAAAAACAAATACCACAGCCATGTATATTAACTCTATCTTATCCATCGAGGCGACTTTCGTGAACATCACGTTTCAATCAAGCAAACAGGAAGACTTGAACGACACCTTATCGGTTCGCTTAAGTCACACACGCGAAAACCGATCAAATTCAAGGTACATTTTTGAAAAAGTGAGGCGTTCTTAACTGATCCGACTAATATAGCTAGGAAGTAGGTGCCATAGAAAAGGTAACTACAGAAAAAAACTTTGCGGCCCGACCTTTACTAAAACTTTATAACTCCGTGAACTTACCTAATTTTCGGCAATCTCCAAGTTTTGCCGCCATTTTGAGATACTTGTCAACATGAAGCGTAGCAGATATATATCGAGCAGTTAGATCTAAAACAGTCAGAAATACGTTCGAAAGCATTTAAATGAACTTCACGTTCAATTCAAGGGGCAAAATTTGAAATTGTTCGTTAAACCTACCATTCCTACATCCCCATGCGACCATTTCTTCCAACAATTCAAACACTACAACTAGATATAGTGACCACTAGTGTTCGAATTTCCCTTGTCGATTCCACCGTAAGAAATAACCTGTGCCACCCAAGCTTCGACTCGAATGTGAAGTACGAATCAAACAACATAACTGCGTCATCTTCGAGGCCATATCACGCTCGTATTTTGATTTTCTGATCGACAAGAACGGTGATCCGGAGGTGATCGCCATGTTTACCTCATAAAGGTGACCGCTGACCGGCCGCTGAGTGAAAACAGTACGCCGCGGGGTGGTGTGGGGGTGGCGGACTTATCGTGATAAGATATTCGAATACACGCTAAAAAAGCTTTAGGACTCTCAGTCTAAACAGTGAAGGCATGCTTCGTGGTACAGACAACTTTTATTTTATTCTCATAACTTTTTCCTTTAAATTAAAACTGGTATTAATTAATAGAGTTATTTAAATATTTTTAACCGAGGTACCCATATGACTTTTTTGCTTGACCTCAGTGGTATAAAATAAGGTGTCTTTTCTTCAAGAACCTTTTATTTATGCGTTATTGCACGGAATGAACACTATACTTAGAAGGTTTGTGCTAAATCATTTTGCTGTTCCCAAGAATGCATGTTTGCAAAATCATAGCTTTACACAAAGCTGACTCTAAAATATGATTTTCCGTAACAGTAACCAATGACATTTAGGTAAGGTGTTAATAAAACTAGTAATGTACAGTTTTTAGCGTTTTCCACTTATAAGACTGACATACAATTGTCAAGTGAACTATGTTAGTTTCAACTCATTCGATTCCTTGATTTGATGTGACATTTTATCACTAAACTCCATTCTTTTCATTTGCAATTTTTTCTGTACTTTTTTTTTTTTTCATATGACAACGACAAAGAGTTTTATAAGTAACCGATTTTTTGGTGTACCGCGCTTATCACATTTTATATTCAAATACATGCAAAAGGCCGGCTAAATAAGCTCCTCCTCCTGCTCCTAATTTTTTGGGTTGCCTTCGCCCCATGCCTCTGACGACTCCCTGTCGGCTAAAAGGAAATTTGAAAGACTGCTATGCAGGACACATTTTCTTTTTCTTCATTTTCATTTTCCCTGTACAATTTTTTATAAGTATGTAAAGATATAAAAAACACAAAGGTTTTTACAAGTAAACTGTTTTTTTTTTGTCCCATTCTTAATATATACATATACTTTGTTCTCGCAAAATGGTGGCTAAGAACGGCTGAATATATACCTACTTGGAAATAAAATGATGCTGTTTGGTTTCCCGTTAAAACATTACGTAGGAGTGACGCGTGTCCGTTCAAATTGTGAAAAAACCACCTCACAAAGTCAAAGCAAAAGAGAAAAAAGTGTAATTTTCATAGCCAACTTACAATCTCTCCATTTTAGACAGCTACAAGGGCCATGGGGTCACTGCTTGATGGTGTAATTATCCTTCCACCGAGCACTGGAATTCATGGGTCATTTCCTTTATTTTTGACATTAGAACAGCTTTGAAATCTCTAGATTTAAGCTGGGTTGAAAAATCCTCATCCCTTACCCTTTCAGAAGACGACAGTAACAATGTTATCGAAAGACAGAGTAGCGAACCTCTCCAGTCGAATTTAAGTGAAGGGTGGGCACTTCATAAGCCAAAAGGTGGCGCTGTTCGCTTCTAAGAGAAAGTAAGGCAGTATCTCACCTCCAAGTTTGAAATTAGTGAGCAATCTGGAAGGAAAGAGGATCTGCGACAAGTCTCGCAAGATATGAGGAAAGTGAAGGGGGAAAACAGGGAGGGCCTGATTTCCCGGGAAGAGTGGCTGACCAAAGCCCAAATACAAGGATTTTTCTTCCCTTTGTCCTCCTCGAGATGGAGACGGGTAGGTTCGTCTCCGAGCTCCGCGGTTGACCATAAATCTGACGAGGAATTAATTGACGAGGAAGAAGTGAATCACATGACCGCCGTCGAATCAGTTGTAACAGAAATTGGCTTAACGCATCCGATTGTCTATGACATTTATGACTCGTGTGACTACGTCAAGCAGGGAAAATTGAACTATTTTACTGTTTCCATTGACTATTTTCCAATTCCCCATAATACACTCTGTCTGCCCCCCAAATTTTGCATAACTTATTGTCTTAAAATGCTCTTGGGAAAATGCAATACTCCCAGGAGCATTTAAAAACAATGGTTTATGCAAAATTTGGGGGGCAAACAGAGTGTATTATGGGGAATTGGAAAATAGAGAATGCTTAAGGAAATCTGTACTTTCTTCGAGCTCCCATTTAAATGGGAGTCGTGCAGAGGCATGGGGCGAAGGCAACCCAAAAAATTAGGAGCAGGGGGAGGAGCTTATTTAGCCGGCCTTTTGCATGTATTTGTATATACAATGTGATAAGCGTGGTATACTAAAAAATCAGTTTACTTATAAAACTCTTTGTCGTTGTCGCATGAAAAAAAGTACAGGAAAATTGCAAATGAAAAGAATGGGGTTTAGTGATAAAAGGTCACATCGAATCAAGAAATGAGCTGAGACTAACATAGTTCACTTGACAATTGTACGTCAGGCTTATAAGTGGAAAACGCTAAAAATTGTACATTACTAGTTTTATTAACACCTTACGTAAATGACATTAGTTACTGTTACGGAAAATTATATTTTCTGATCGACAAGAACGGTGATCCGGAGGTGATCGCCATGTTTACCTCATAAAGGTGACCGCTGACCAGCCGCTGAGTGAAAACAGTACGCCGCGGGGTGGTGTGGGTGGCGGACTTATCGTGATAAGATATTCGAATACACGCTAAAAAAGCTTTAGGACTCTCAGTCTGAACAGTGAAGGCATGCTTCGTGGTACAGACAACTTTTATTTTATTCTCATAACTTTTTCCTTTGAATTAAAACTGGTATTAATTAATAGAGTTATTTAAATATTTTTAACCGAGGTACCCATATGACCTTTTTGCTCACTGTCCTCAGTGGTATAAAATAAATTGTCTTTTCTTCCGGAACCTTTTATTTATGCGTTATTGCACGGAATGAACACTATACTTAGAAGGTTTGCTCTAAGTCATTTTTGCTGTTTCAAAGAATGGATGCAAAATCATTGCTTTACACAAAGCTGACTCTGAAATATAATTTTCCGTAACAGTAACTAATGTCATTTACGTAAGGTGTTAATAAAACTAGTAATGTACAATTTTTAGCGTTTTCCACTTATAAGCCTGACGTACAATTGTCAAGTGAACTATGTTAGTCTCAGCTCATTTCTTGATTCGATGTGACCTTTTATCACTAAACCCCATTCTTTTCATTTGCAATTTTCCTGTACTTTTTTTCATGCGACAACGACAAAGAGTTTTATAAGTAAACTGATTTTTTAGTATACCACGCTTATCACATTGTATATACAAATACATGCAAAAGGCCGGCTAAATAAGCTCCTCCCCCTGCTCCTAATTTTTTGGGTTGCCTTCGCCCCATGCCTCTGCACGACTCCCATTTAAATGGGAGCTCGAAGAAAGTACAGATTTCCTTAAGCATTCTCTATTTTCCAATTCCCCATAATACACTCTGTTTGCCCCCCAAATTTTGCATAAACCATTGTTTTTAAATGCTCCTGGGAGTATTGCATTTTCCCAAGAGCATTTTAAGACAATAAGTTATGCAAAATTTGGGGGGCAGACAGAGTGTATTATGGGAATTGAAAAAATAGTCAATAAACAGTAAAATAGTTCAATTTTCCCTGCTTGACGTAGTCACACGAGTCATAAATGTCATAGACAATCGGATGCGTTAAGCCAATTTCTGTTACAACTGATTCGACGGCGGTCATGTGATTCACTTCTTCCTCGTCAATTAATTCCTCGTCAGATTTATGGTCAACCGCGGAGCTCGGAGACGAACCTACCCGTCTCCATCTCGAGGAGGACAAAGGGAAGAAAAATCCTTGTATTTGGGCTTTGGTCAGCCACTCTTCCCGGGAAATCAGGCCCTCCCTGTTTTCCCCCTTCACTTTCCTCATATCTTGCGAGACTTGTCGCAGATCCTCTTTCCTTCCAGATTGCTCACTAATTTCAAACTTGGAGGTGAGATACTGCCTTACTTTCTCTTAGAAGCGAACAGCGCCACCTTTTGGCTTATGAAGTGCCCACCCTTCACTTAAATTCGACTGGAGAGGTTCGCTACTCTGTCTTTCGATAACATTGTTACTGTCGTCTTCTGAAAGGGTAAGGGATGAGGATTTTTCAACCCAGCTTAAATCTAGAGATTTCAAAGCTGTTCTAATGTCAAAAATAAAGGAAATGACCCATGAATTCCAGTGCTCGGTGGAAGGATAATTACACCATCAAGCAGTGACCCCATGGCCCTTGTAGCTGTCTAAAATGGAGAGATTGTAAGTTGGCTATGAAAATTACACTTTTTTCTCTTTTGCTTTGACTTTGTGAGGTGGTTTTGTCACAATTTGAACGGACACGCGTCACTCCTACGTAATGTTTTAACGGGAAACCAAACAGCATCATTTTATTTCCAAGTAGGTATATATTCAGCCGTTCTTAGCCACCATTTTGCGAGAACAAAGTACATGTATATATTAAGAATGGGACAAAAAAAAAACAGTTTACATGTAAAAACCTTTGTGTTTTTTATATCTTTACATACTTATAAAACATTGTACAGGGAAAATGAAAATGAAGAAAAAGAAAATGTGTCCTGCATAGCAGTCTTTCAAATTTCCTTTTAGCCGACAGGGAGTCGTCAGAGGCATGGGGCGAAGGCAACCCAAAAAATTAGGAGCAGGAGGAGGAGCTTATTTAGCCGGCCTTTTGCATGTATTTGAATATAAAATGTGATAAGCGCGGTACACCAAAAAATCGGTTACTTATAAAACTCTTTGTCGTTGTCATATGAAAAAAAAAAGTACAGAAAAATTGCAAATGAAAAGAATGGAGTTTAGTGATAAAATGTCACATCAAATCAAGGAATCGAATGAGTTGAAACTAACATAGTTCACTTGACAATTGTATGTCAGTCTTATAAGTGGAAAACGCTAAAAACTGTACATTACTAGTTTTATTAACACCTTACCTAAATGTCATTGGTTACTGTTACGGAAAATCATATTTTAGAGTCAGCTTTGTGTAAAGCTATGATTTTGCAAACATGCATTCTTGGGAACAGCAAAATGATTTAGCACAAACCTTCTAAGTATAGTGTTCATTCCGTGCAATAACGCATAAATAAAAGGTTCTTGAAGAAAAGACACCTTATTTTATACCACTGAGGTCAAGCAAAAAAGTCATATGGGTACCTCGGTTAAAAATATTTAAATAACTCTATTAATTAATACCAGTTCTAATTTAAAGGAAAAAGTTATGAGAATAAAATAAAAGTTGTCTGTACCACGAAGCATGCCTTCACTGTTTAGACTGAGAGTCCTAAAGCTTTTTTAGCGTGTATTCGAATATCTTATCACGATAAGTCCGCCACCCACACCACCCCGCGGCGTACTGTTTTCACTCAGCGGCTGGTCAGCGGTCACCTTTATGAGGTAAACATGGCGATCACCTCCGGATCACCGTTGTTGTCGATCAGAAAATCAAAATACCAGCGTGATATGGCCTCGAAGATGACGCAGTTATGTTGTTTGATTCGTACTTCACATTCGAGTCGAAGCTTGGGTGGCACAGGTTATTTCTTACGGTGGAATCGACAAGGGAAATTCGAACACTAGTGGTCACTATATCTAGTTGTAGTGTTTGAATTGTTGGAAGAAATGGTCGCATGGGGATGTAGGAATGGTAGGTTTAACGAACAATTTCAAATTTTGCCCCTTGAATTGAACGTGAAGTTCATTTAAATGCTTTCGAACGTATTTCTGACTGTTTTAGATCTAACTGCTCGATATATATCTGCTACGCTTCATGTTGACAAGTATCTCAAAATGGCGGCAAAACTTGGAGATTGCCGAAAATTAGGTAAGTTCACGGAGTTATAAAGTTTTAGTAAAGGTCGGGCCGCAAAGTTTTTTTCTGTAGTTACCTTTTCTATGGCACCTACTTCCTAGCTATATTAGTCGGATCAGTTAAGAACGCCTCACTTTTTCAAAAATGTACCTTGAATTTGATCGGTTTTCGCGTGTGTGACTTAAGCGAACCGATAAGGTGTCGTTCAAGTCTTCCTGTTTGCTTGATTGAAACGTGATGTTCACGAAAGTCGCCTCGATGGATAAGATAGAGTTAATATACATGGCTGTGGTATTTGTTTTTTGCTGAGTCCCGTAGTTTGTTGTAAATTGCCCGGCAAAGTTGCCTCAAATTAACGTCTTGAAAAGTGTCACGACAGGCCTTCGGTCGAGTGAAATTTAATTTCCGTAAAACTCTGAAAAATAAAGAGATCCGATCAAACGGATTGTGGTTTTAGTATAGGTACATGAATGTCTTACAACACACAAGAAATGAGCTAAATCTTTGTCTCAAGGAAAATCGACCGGACCGCTCTTACAGAGACACTCTCTTAATTGTTCTAATAATTTTTAACTTTTAGTCGGCATCACATGTTTATTGTACTTCTTGGGAAACCTAACCGTTTGTTTCATCAAAATCGGTCACAAGATTCGACTTTAATTTCGGTCCAATTGAATGCCGTTTTGACTGTGTCTCATTGATAGAGTGTCATCTCCCCTGGTGACTAATCTACGTCTCGAGTGCTTTTAATTTTCTAGCTTTAAATTGCTGGGAAAATGGTAGAACGTATATTAATTCACTGCTGAACTGAACACCGGCTTTTGCGCACTTCGAACCCACTCGCTGAAATTTGCTATGGTTTTTTTGGTAATATTTCTGTTCCTTTCCCATATTTCAAAACAAAAAAATTGAAAGTGTTTACTTGCATCAACAAACGTTTCGGCACTTTGTTTAGACTTTGGTGAGGTCAGCGCAATCCTACAGGCACTACATATACGCGCGCTGTTGTACAGGTCAAGTGGGGAGATAAAATTTGATAGTAGCTCGTGTATGTTAAAGCCGGTCTTTGTTAAGACCATGTTACAGTTTTTTTTTTTTGCAAACTACACATTTTGTCAAATCACGAGCACATTCGCCAAGACCAACGAGCAAACTAATCGCGATGATAGCTTTGAGACGTGCCATTTTGATGAAGGCAGACCCTGTTATGAGCCTCCATGCACGTCGCTTGTTCAGCGGTCGCGCATGCTCATGCAAAATAGACCCCTGTTATGAGAGGATAATCTACTATTCCTTACAATTATAACCTAGATTATTCTCTCTTGTTTGTAACTAAAGGCTTGTTGTTGGCGAATTAGGCTAACTGCTAACTTTTACCCACCATGTAATAATTCACACTATTCTCTTTATTACAGCTGAGTATATGCAGGTTCTAGAGTGGGTTATGACAATAACACTTTAATATATCGTACGTAGCAGCTATGTGATTGAACATTTTACTGTTAAAATTCTTTTACTGGATCAGAATTGAGTACCTGGAGAAAGTCTGGCTTCTTTGTGGGTATGTGAAACAGAAACGCACTTTTCTCATTGCCATACATGAAGAAAGAGCCAAACTCAGGATATTCCTCGTCATCAAAGTGCTCAAACTGGGGCACATCGAACACCTTCATGTTAGCCGACATGAAAGGCTTGCTTTGGTCAGTGGGCAGCCCTACGTAGCAATCGAACTTCTCTGAATCATCCCCGTATTCGGATTCACCAAACAACACATCATGGAGCGTGGTGTTAGCTTTGCTTCTAAATACAATTGGTTTTGGCTCAGTACTCTTCTTAAACAGAGCATCTTGTTTCTCTTTATATTCCTTGGCTTGCTCCTCAAAATTGAATTTCAGCGTAGCGACAGTCCCATACTGCTTGGAGACGTTGCTGAAGTTGCCTGCGTAGTAGACGATTACCCTATTGTCATCGTCGACGACTCCGGTACTAATAAAGTCATGATGAGACTTTGGATCTTTCACCTGCAAGACCAAATTTTTTTCAAATGTCCAAATGCAAACAAGAAATCGCGCATATCGCGTGGGTGCAACAAGATGCAAATAAACAAAAATTAAAATTTACAAAAATCAGCAAATCCTGAGATTTTGGGCAATATTAAGGGGTCCAAAATTTGGGCAACTCAGGTGAAAAGTTTTACCCATCAGTAGGCAAACTCAGTTAAGTGAGCGTTATCGTCATTGAGCGTGCAGTAATATTGAAACATTTTTCTGATATATTAATACTTAGCCAAAAACATATACCCTGTAGGTTATCATCGGTTAAGTAGATTCCGTGGTTAAAAAGCAAAATGCAAACCAGATGAGAGTTGCATGTAACTTTTCAGTAGCACTGTTTTTTGCAGCTTCTTATTGGATGCAGTTTAAATCATGTAGCAATTGCAAAAAATTATCCAGACAAGTGGACATATTTTCAGACGTTTCGCCAACCCGCGGCCCTTCCTCTGAATTGCCACTTGTGTAAAGATCTGTCCCAACCGAACTTTGCATTCCTCGATACTGCAGGCTCCTGAATCTTACTTGATTGTGAGGGATGGAGGTACATGTAAGACATATCTCAGCTTAACCTGGATGTCTGGCGCAAGACAGTAAGGTATCTCCCCAAATGAATGCGATTAGAAAATTCGCCCCATTGTGATGATCAGTGAGGTAATTCAAGACAGTTTAGGATTCTGGATTAAACGCTCTGGACTTCGGATTCCAGGAACGGGATTTCAGATTCCTTGCTTATGAAACTTAAATTCTGGATCCCGATCGTTAGCGGGATTCCGGATTCCTTGACCTGAATTACGGATTCCAAATCCCCAGGATCCCGGATTCCACAAGCAAAAACTGGGGCAAGAAAACTGTTTTCCGATAAAGCTCTGAGATGACAATAACGATGAGGAAAGCAAAGATGTAAGAAAAAGCAAGTTGGGGAAAGTAATCATCATATACCAAAAAGGTTAAAATTTTACCATGATGGCAATTTTGATTTCTGAGCCACCTGGAAACCTCTTTCGAACAAGAACACTTAGAGTTGGTCAGTCATATCGTTTGACTTTCGACAAAGCAGACACTCTTCTTAAGACGGGCACTTGGACGGTCACACAACGGTATCACCCGTCGCAGAGGGAGAAAAGAGCGTTGGTTATTTTACATAAAAATTTCGGTAAGCATTAGTAAAGCTTCGTAAATGAAAAAGCTTGGATGAATAGCTTTCTATCAATTGTAAGCGCTAAATATGCAATGAATATTGATTATGCTAAGAGGACATTACCGTTCCAATGGCGCAAAGAATGGTATTCCTCATGATAGCAGCAAGATCGTCAAAGAATTCCATGGACGAGGCCCATGGATCCATGCACGTGGTGATGATAAACTTAACTGGATTGTCATCTTTATGATCGAGCTTGAAGACATAAAGTAAAATCAAAATGTTTTTTTAAAAACACTTAAAAATTAAAAATAAAAGAGAGAGATACCCACAATCCAGATTTATATTAGAAAATCAGATTCAAGATCTTCGCCTCAAAATATTTCTAGTGTTATTATTCCTCAGACACATTCTGAGAAGTTGGGTGGCAATCGGTTTCGCTATGGCTACGAGATATTTTGTCATTAGTGGCAAGAAAGCGAGGCTCTTATTGGACAAAATAAATAGTTTTACTCCTTTTTGGTAATTGAAACGTATAAGACAGGAGGAAGAGCAGAAAATGTTTAATTTCATATAAAACATTATATACCTCCTTGACACGCCGATATTAATGGATGACTCATGACTCATAAGCCAAACTGAATTAGTGATAGTTCCTTTGTCAATACGCGCTACCCTTTTTTATTCTTAAAAACAGCAGTTAAGAACAAAAAAAGTTCTTCCGTAAAAAGACTATGTGTTGCAGATCATTGGCAGGACCATTGATAAACAACTTGCGATAGGGCAATTGCTCATGTGAATTTGCCAAAAACATATCTATTGGTATTAATAAATGCTTGTGTTCAGTGATGAGCCTCACACGGGGAGACAGTACCACGGAGGAAGTTTTTTCTTTGTCGTAAAGAAACGATCGTTGCACCACTTACCCCCAATCTCTTTTTGAAGCTCTTCAATGCGGAGCTGTGTTTGTGGTGGAGCATGCTTGAGGCAGTAACAACCATTGGGACTCGATGAGCAGTTCTTTCACCGGAGGAATGACTCAGCTTTTGAAATATGGCCATATTGATTGCGTTACAGACATCGACACTCTTGTTATCCTTTAAGTTGACAGTGAAGCACGGAACTAGTGTATCAGGACCTATCTCCTTCAAGTACTCCATAGCTTCTTCATCCTGATATAATTGGAAAATAGCATTAAACATTTGAAAAAAGAAAGGTTGCCTAAGTACGAACATTTTTAAAAATTAGTTTTGACTGAATTAAGTTGACTTTTCGGGGGAGGATATTAGAAAAAAAGGTGATTTTTAATTATTTTTTTAGTAAAATAAGTGATATAATTGTTTTTACTAATGCTGTTAGCCTAGGGGGAACACTTGGTCTTTGAAGCTCAGCTCAGTAACTGAGATTGGGACTATAGATTCTAAACTTATTATTGTTATCGTTCTCCATAAGCATCATAACTCATGAAAGTATGACTTATTTGTGCACATTACTGAATGTCAATTCTCAAACTCATTAATAATTCATTAAGAAAATACAAAGGAAATTAATGTTTAATGAGTGTTTGGAAATCGGATGAAACACTGCTTAGTATTTGCATCCTTAATTTCTCCTTCAAAAATGATTTTGTTTGAGAAGAAATATCAAACATTCGACACAGTGTTTCATCACCAGATGAAACACCTCGAAGTTCGTCAAAAATACTCCGCTGCGCGTCGTATTTTCAACTCTCTTCTCGGTGTTTCATCTGGTGATGAAACACTGCATCTCATGTTTGATATATTACTTCTAAACCTAAAATATCACCAAAATTTACCACAGCAAACAGAGAAAAAAAGGGGGGGGGGAGGGGTTTGCCTACTCCTCCATGGATTAACATAAATTTAGTCGTTTCACAAACGAAGAAATTTTTCATGCGTTTCGTTTACCTTAGCAAGTTCTTCATTGCTTTTTCCAATGATCCTGTCTTTGATCAATCGTTTTTGCTGTTCTTGTGACAGGTTCGTCCATTTTTCGGGGAGTGGCTTAGTAGTTTCAATTATAAAGTTGTCATCTTCTTCAGCAAGTGTCACCCAAAGGCAGTACAACAGTTTGGCAGTATAGTTGCATTCAGACAGGATTCGACCATAGCCGTTTTTGTTGAGACCAATAACCTTTTTTCAAAGGAACGAAAGAGAATGACGATGGGGAAATTCACTCCCATCTAAAAATCAGCATGCAGTAATTCACGAAAGACAGGGCACGCTGATTCGAAGTGAACGAAGTACAATCCTTTTCTTGCAGATCAAGAAGTACTAAATGCCTGATGTCTATTCACTTTTTTGGGTGACAAAATGACGATGAATTCAACGCCAATGCTTTTTATCTCTCGATCTTTTGATTCTCGAGTCTAGACTCGCTAAAAGTCAACCTCTCATAAGTTCTTCCGAGCGAGCCCGAAGCGAGCTTCAATGAAGTCGCACAGCCACCGAGCGCCAGAGCGGCGAAGACGTTTTTCCTGAATGGGTTTGAATCATATTATAAATTCACTCAGGAAAAAAAGTTTGACATATGCTAAGTCGGGAGTGGCGTCAAATATCACTCACACTCTTATTGTTCATTTATCATGACATTACCCGTGGAATTTCCCACCAGTGAATTTCGCGCCAAACAGGTATGAAAAGTCCTTTGAAATGGCATAACTAACCAGGAAAAAAATAGATGACTTTTAAAAGGTCTATCTCGAGTACAGTAAATAAAATAATAATAATTATCATTTATAAGGTGCAAAATAGCATTTGAATATATGATCTAATGCGCACTAACAACAACAACAAAAAAGAAAAAACAGCAAACAAGCAAATAGAAAATTAAGATATTGTATAAAATTATACGTAAAATTTCCTAAAAAGGAAAAAAAAACAAGCCTAAAAATTTAGTATAAATCTCTCTATATATACAATTAAAAGGGCAATCATAAGATTCGATTAAAAATGTATTGAAGCTAAGTAATTGAAATTATCTGAAAACGTTAATTGATAATTCATTCATGAGTCGTAAATTTATAAAGCATAGGCTTCTTTAAAAACAAAGTTTTTAGTCTGGCTTTTCATGTAGTAGTATAATGGCCTATATCAACTCTAATGTAATAATTCAATTTAAATACCCTGTTCGCGAGTCTCACTGCTGCTGCAGCGGCTCCGGGTTTGGATCCCTCGAGGCCGATATCTCCCAGAGTCATATCACCATGGTAGTACACCACATTTGTGGTTATTTGAAGGAAGGTGTTCATCCGCTTGTCTTTGTAGCACAAAGCTCCCGCTGGATATGGACAAAAGCCTGACTTATGAGGATCAATGGTGATGGTGTCACACTGGTTAACAGCTGAAAGCTGTTCGTTTACGTAATTGCTGAGGAATATTCTGGGAATAAATCCTGAGTCTTCAGGTGGTTTTAAGTAATGACTTTGCGGCTGGTCCCTCAACATACTGCAGAAATATCCTCCCCAGGCTCCGTCGGCGTGGATAGCGAAGTCAAGACCCTACGTTTGAAAGAAGTGTAGCATTATAGTGCGAGAAAACGTTAGCCAGTCGGGATTACCTTAAGGCTATCAAGGATGAGTTCAGACTGGGTTCCCTGGGGGGAAAGTGGGAAAAAAGAGATGCCAAAATATATAAAATATCAGCAAGGCCACAGCAACAAAAAGAGACGTTTGGTCATCCACCTGCGCTAGATATTCCTAATAGTACTCAAGGGGCAGCTTTTTTCATTATGAAATAAAGAAAAAATTTGATGTGGGTAATTAAGAATTGATTTCGAAGTTTTAGCTAAGGTAATATCCAACTGATAAAAGGTCAAGGCGTTGGATAATAGAAGGAACAACAATTGATTATAGCCTGTCCCTGTTCAATAGTATTATACTGATTTAAACAACTGATTTACCTTGTTGCTGTAGCTTTTTCGCAACTGAAGAATTTCAGAAAGTGGATCAATTGAACTCTCTTCAGTGGTGCCCATCACAGCCACAACAGCGACAATAGGAATTTTATCTTCCAGGTGTTTGTCAAGGATGTCTTTCAGCACTTATAACAACAGAAAAGCATTTATATATAACAAGAATTAGAATAACATGTATACAACATGTTTTGTGAATATGGAGGTATTATCAACTTATTTAAATCTGAGAAAATAATGAAATTATAGCTGAACTATTTTTTGAACATTTTTAAACATTCTTCTGAAGATTCTGGAAATAGTCACTGCAGCTGGAGGAAGTATAACTGCAGACTTTCTTTGTTTATCTAAAAATGGTTCACTGAAAACTTCACCAAATAATAACACTCAAAACTTTAAGATGAGTTAAAATATGTAACGATCTTTGAGGCTTTCATATCTTTTAATCCATTCTCTCCTTGATGACTTATTTTCCAGAAGAAGTCGCTGGGATCTCTATTTGTAATGTTGGTTTGAAGTTAATCTAATCACTTGCTTGATAACTGTCATAAGCTTTAGGTTTTTACAAACAGGTCTTTACAAGAATGACATGAACAGGTAGTTTGTGATAGAAAAACCTATACATCGAGTCTTTCCATTTTGACTTACCACCGGAATTCATTCGTGAATCATCATCAACAGCAACTTTGACAAGGTTATTTTTTCCCAGCCCTAGTACAGTTACGGCCTTGGTGAAGGAAATATGCGCTGTGCTAGGCACCACAACACAGGTTTTCTCAATTAGAGGATGTCGTCGAGCAAATTCTGGCGCTCCAATGGATTCGTAAAGGTAGTCTGACATAACATCCATGAATTCTCCGTGTTCCAATCCAGTTTGCTTCTCAATATCATCAGGCATACTGAGAATGGAAGAAGTGTCGAGATTGAGTAGTTCCCATTCAGAGCCACTAGTTAGTTCTCCCATCTTACCTCTTTTGGGGAAGAAAACCTTAAAGATGGAAAGCAAATATAGAAATTAATCATCGTCATTTTCATTGTCATTGTCATCACCATTACCCGTCATCATCATCATTCTCCTCCTCATCATCATCATCATTATCTCATCATCATCATAATATCATCATATCATCATCAATTTTATTGTAAGAGCTCTTTTACGTACGTTCTGAGGGTATCTGTTGCTGTTCACTATATATAAGAAGGCAGGCTATGTAATTTAGTCTTAAGTTTGCAGTTTCCTTGTGCCAAGAAACAAATGCGTCTTTGTCTCAGCTAAATGTCCAAATCCCGCTAAAATCTTTTTCACACTTCCAAGAGTTCCCACTACTACTACTAATAAAGCATTCTCCCGAGATATTTGTTATGTTATACTATTCCGACCGTCAACAATGTCAATAGCCAAACACACTTTATTGGCAATAAATCTCTGCCAATCTTTGTTTACATGCATGCGGGTCTGTTTGCAGCCAGAAGTTCAACTATAGCAACTTGCGAACGGTTGTTAAACGTTCAGTTTCAGGTAAACATTATTATATTTCACTGCATACATGAACTGATTCATTACCAGCAAGACTTACTCACTTATTTCTTCTACTACTGCTGAGAAATAAGCACATTCAATGTACCTTATAATCCTTGGCAGCAGCTAACTTCTCCTCCTTCTTAAAGGCTCTCTGCAGTGCCAGAGGGAAAAATTTGACATTTCGTGCTGCCCAAATTGCTTCAATATTTGCAATGGTTCCTCCAGTAACCAAATGTCCCATGCTTTTATCTTTTTCGTATCCCATCATTACGCAAAGGTCGTTCCCAACTTCCAGCTCAAATGAAGTCGTGACGGTTGATGCCTCCGCAGCGCAGTTGTTCTGATTGTAAAGCAGAGCGCAGATGTAGCCAAGGTTGGCAGGCATCGCGATATCCCAGTTGACATGTCCCTATTTGTGAAATGAATAAGACACACGTAGGTGATTAGGCGTTAAAATAAGTTAACACAAGTGCAATCAAACCTGATGTGTACAAAGGTCACCCTTGGGAAATGGCAAGGTGAGCGGTATATACAGCGTGACTGCTATATACAGGTCAACTTTGCAGAAAATATAAGGCAATTGAAATTTTGGGAAGTTGTCCGGTGACCGTATAATTTTCTGTAACTTTACATCCTTCTTTGGGGTAGAGCCAAAAAAAGTCGAAATTTGACCGCTTTTGCACGAACAAAGGAAAACTTTTTAAGGGCAAAAGTGCTTGAAAATATCAAGTTCTCCCAATTTAGCGATCAAGGCTTACCACGCGTAGATTAAACATTTCAAGTCTTAAAATTACCAATTAATTACCAGTAATAATAGCAACTAAATGTCAGGAGAAAGTGATCTTCACCTATTTACAGCTAAATTGTTGTATTGTAAAGTTAGGCAATATATCGTAATTTTATTGTAGTTGATGTTGGTGTTTCTTGCTTTGATATCAATAGTGTTTTGCAGTTTGCAAAATATAAAGGAGAGAGCCTTCGAACTTATCAATCTAATTCATTCATTATCCTTTTTCTAGCTAAAGCTGGGCAACAGGGCATGAGTGCTAGGTCATTTTGGTCCTGGAGTTTGATTGTCTAGAATAGATTAAGTATTTAGTAGTAAATATAATTGGCTAACTACTTCGGCTATCCAATTTACTACTTAATGTCCATTAGATGTTTAACTAATGTAATTGTGCGATTTCAAGAAGTAAGCTTCTAATCGAAAAGTATCACTTGTATCACCCAAATTTAACATGTAAAATAATTATAAGGGCTGTTGAGAACCAATCACATTCGGGCATTTGGTATTGACTCGACTGAGGAAGTACTTCAACAATGCTGAAGACTCCTGATAAACGCTATTACCTTGTATCTCGTGCTGTAAAATGGGACGGAATTCTGCATTTGCCTTTGTAATAACTCCAATTCTGTCTGCAGTTTATCCTTGGAAGCTTGATAGGCTTCTGCCTCGCGAAGATCATCAGTCACATAGGGGGGATCACAGGGAAAATAGCTAAAAGATGACAAAGAACAAGAAAAGTTTGTCGAAGTCGATTAAATATTTTTAAAACGGGTATGACGTCCGATATGACCCATCCCAACGAAGCGGATGCCTGTGGACAGAAGGCTGTGGGAAACTGTATAAAACTGGCAGGTGCATCGTAAGAAAAAAGTATGTTTAAGTTAATTTCATCTCTTAGCGTGTGATAAGACTATTAAATATCCAACAAGGTCACGTAAAAATTAGTTTATTGCTTTTTAGCATGAGAATTGCCACAACCGGCATGTCTGCTCGAAAGGACGACTTTCTCACCGCTGGGAATTACAGCCAAACTCGTTGTATCTCGCTGCTCGTTTGCAAACCTCAAATGGGTTTTTCTGTCTCGTCAATCATTTGAGTGAGGGCGGAGTTAATGCAAATCACAATGCAACGCACTCGCCCAGTTTGGTCAGCAAAAACAAAAAAGAATGACTCAAGACTGCTAAAGAATAGCGAAGGAAATCGCCATGATGAGTGGAATTTTTGTCCAGAGCAGGAGGCAGACATTGCTTTATTCTTGCGAGAGACAATAATAAGAAACATTAGAAAAATCTTCGAAGGAAACTATTCGATTATTGCCCGAAACAGGGCGATCACAAGCAACGAATCTTGAAACACAGAAACAATCAGAGTGGATCTAAATGCACCAATCACAAGTAAACATGTGTTTCCTAAGAGGTCCGTTAAGATGATTGACGGAACAGAAAAACCCAAAATTATTTCGAAGTTTGCAAAACGCGCAGCGTGATACAACGAATTTGGCGATAACTTATAGCCAAATTCGCTGTATCACGCTGTGTGTTTGAAAACTTTGAGCTGGTTTTTCTGCTCCGTCAATCATGTGAGTGGGGGTGGAGTTAATGCAAATCACAATGCAACGCACTCGCCCAGCTTGGCCCGCAAAATAAAATTGAGAATGACCCTAAACTGCTCAAGAATAGCAAAAGAAATCGCGATCATGAGTGGAATTTTTGTTGAGGGCAGGAAGCAGATATTGCTTTATTCTTGCAAGAGACAAGGATAAGAAACATCATAAAAAGCTTCGAAGAAAACTAGTCGATTATTGCCCGAAACAATACGAAACAGGGCGATCACAAGCGGCGAACCTAACGCAGAAACAAACAAAGTGGATCGAAATGCACCAATCACAAGTAAACATGTGTTTCCTAAGAGGTCCACTTAGAAGACTGAAGGCACAGAAAAACCCAAAATTCCTTCGAAGTTTGCAAAACGGGCTGCGCGATACAACGAATTTGGCTATAACTCCTATTAATGCAAAATTTGCGAAAACTATTGATTGTTTAATAGACTGATCTATTGTATTGTAAATCAGCACGACCCTCCCGCCACATTAGAGATAATGAGGAGTTAGGTTTATCTAATTTGTGCATGTGACATGTCTAGTTATCAAAGGCGGCAAACACCAGATATTGTTGGTTTTCACATGACGTCACTAAAATTCAAACTACAAAACTATCCATCCTACTGAGATTTTACTTTCACGGTGTATTAGAACAGCTGAAAACTAATTTAATTCTCAAACAATTTTCGCTTCAAAAGGTTTCTTGGTTTTGTAATACAGTACGCTTGAATTTCTAAACCTTCGCATGACGCAGCATTTACATGACGGCCGAGAGAGCTGTTATGTAGGTTAAAAAAGTGACTTTTTTTCGAGGAATTTTGCTATCTAAACAGTTCAAGCCGTTAGAAAAAGTATTACTTTAATGTTTATGAGCTCCTCTAGGAGTAAATTCACGCTTTTGTAGCAAAACTCGGTAAAGGATGTTTCTGTTGGTTTCCGTCCGTCATGTTGGAGCTCATCTGGATGAGCTCCAGCATGGCGTCCCCATACAAAGCTCTATAAATTTGGGTAAAACATTTCCTCGGAAATCTCGTATACCAATTATTCCTTCAACCCAAATCTTGGCGAGGGTCTTTGTATATTTACCTCCATTCATTTCCCAGATTCTGGACTTTATCTATCGAATGGCTTTGATTTTTATTTCGATCTATTTTGAACGGCGTGACACTGAAAACCAGCAATTGAAACAACGGTATTGCAGTTTATGTTGGAAGCAGTCCCTGACGGCACATAATCCTTTGTTTTCTGTTTACAAATTATGATACTGAATAAATGAATGCGACGTTAATTTTATTCGTTAATAAGATTTGAATGATAGGAATACTATTGAACATTGTGCACCGCCAAGTCCACAGAAATGAAACACAGGAGTCTCACCGGCTTCATAACCATCCCACTCTTCTAATCTAACTTTGGTGAAATTAAGCAGGCAACATGGAATTCTCTTGTAGTTTTGAATTCCTAATTTTCGCTTTCCTGACTTAATATCCTTAACTCAGTTGCATAATCAACTGACTCTCTACAGGATACCGTACTCACATGTGTCGGCGAAACTTGATATGTGAATCGATTGTTTTAGTCACAAGATCTTGGAACAAATCTCCATTCTCTGCCTTGGGTCCCATGAACCAAGCTCCAAGAGCTGACCACGGTTTATGCCGTCCGTGAGAAAGATCTCTTGCTGCAAACATGTTGTTCTGATGGAAGTACATATTAGGTGCTCGGTTGGCCATACGCCTCCTCTTTCCACCCGCTCCAGCAACTTGCTGAAGGGGTCTTTTTCGGCTTTGAAGCATGTCTGAATCTAATCAGTTCTGTTAAAGAGTGTATAACTTAATATATTTATATTGTTAAATTCAAGGCAAGGCGTTAGGCGCTAGTACCTACGTCAAATTTGAGTCAGACGGATTTTATTGAATTAAATTCGTCCACAATTCGACGTAAAGGGCTGTGCAAATTAGACGAAAAACGCCGAGAAAAATGGGGGTTTTCCGTTCTTGTTTCATCACAAAAAGACAGCAAAGGGAAAATTTCGGCTTCAGATGATCATTCTTCGCGAAGAGACTTGGGAAGTTGCAAGACCGACGACGTTTTAGCCGGGAAGAGTTATCATGATCTCTGTTGAAACCCCTTTTAACTACAAAAGGGGCTTTGTTACCTCTCTTCAAGCGATTGGTGAACATCAAAATGCCCTTCATTAACGCAATGTTATGTGCAGTAAGTGATGCCCGGTGGATAAGCAGGGAATCACCTTAACTTTATTTTCACGCGGATTCGAGTTGACTCAAAAAAAGAATAATCACAGAGCTCCCTGTGCGGTTTCAGCTCGAAGGCAAAATTTTGCCCCAGAGAGCCATCTTTTTTGGACCTCACGCAGGAAAATATAAAAAATGACAGTAAAAGAAAAAAAAAACTCATTTTTGTCCCCAGAGCCGCTCGCCTATATTTCTATTACCAGGTGACCGAAAGAATCTAAGTGCTCTGGAAGCGAGAGCCCGTCGAGCTTGCGCCTATGGGCAGTAAAGAAAACTGGCGCCACGACAGCCTCCTCTCTCAATTTTCCCACGTTATAATAAATTATTACACATAAACATAATGTATCCATTCAAGTTGATGTGTCGTTTGAGTGACGTCTAAAATGAGACTCTACAGACAATTTGTCCGTCTGGCGAAGACAGGTGATTAAACGTATTGGACAAATACGTCGCAGAATCTTGGAATTTAATTGCATGGGATAGGCTTTCAATTAAATTCGTCTGAATTAAATTCGACGGTCGCGCGACGTGTAGACTGGGCCTAACTTTCTTTATGCTTGTAAAAGTAAAACCATGAGATGTGAAGGCATTCGGACTGCGACGACTTGATTACAAAAAATAAAAAAGTCGGTAAAGAAGAGTAAATATTAAGGCTCAAAATCGATCAAAAAGTTGATCTTATTGTCATAGAAGACAGACAGTCAGAATCCGCCTGCAGTGCGTACTCTCCGACTATAAAATAAATGAATAAGTATAAGCTTGTTACAACATTGAGGTCAGATATTGGAAAACATGGAACAATCTAGGTAGCGTTATAGTTAACAATTATTCTTTGAAATCGAGGTGAATAGTGGCAAAATATTTACCGAGCCGCGAAAGCGGCGAGGTAAATATTCCCAAAGCCACTATTCACCGAGATTGAGAAGAATAATTGTTTTAGTATATACACACGAAGTGATCTCAACAAAATCAGAAAGGAAACCATTCAAAAGTAGGATTTGATTGACAGATCAAATCACGCGTAAGTTTAAAAATAGATCTTTGCAGAATTTTCAAACATGGCAATTCACAAGTTTACTGATTTCGCAAACAACAGCGTAATGGCTTCAATAGAATCGCTAAAAGTTTGAACTGTTTCCTTACCTGAGAAAAAAAGTAGAGCTGTGTTGTTTTCTGTTGACTCGCCAAGTTTATAGCCAAAAGGGCATGTTGTGTCGTTCTTCGCATGAAGTGCTGACAAAAATGGCGGCTCGGTTGCTCGAGGTAAGAGGTGGTCTTCCTGTATCATTCTTTTTCCTGTTTACTTGAAATGTAGAATTTCTGCAAACATTTCCTCTTAAATTTGTTTGTCATAAATAAACTTCGATTTTTGAGCCAAAATTTTCTTCTTAGAAAACGCTGAGTTCACGAAACGGCTTCTTCTACGCGAATACACGGGAGTTGTAAACAATCCATCGAGCACAAAACTCCTGCTACAGTAAATTGAAAAACGCCGTATTGAATCCTTCCAAGTCTTTTCTTGCCTTACAAAAAGTCAGCCCTAGCATTTTGTCGACTTTTAAAAGATCGTTCTCTAAAAAAAACGGGAAAAACACCGAGCTCACACATTATCCACTCGCTAGGAGGTGAATATTGTTGAATAGTCCGAGATAGCGAACCAATCAGATTGCTTAAATCACCAAGATCACTGAGTGTGTATATACTAATCAATTTTATCTACCTTTTAGAATGAATAAATCTTCACGTGCACGGCAAAAGTAGGACTGTTTTTGGTGATCGTGTGCTATTGTGCGAACAATAGTGACTAATTAATAATCTCATGCATTGAAAGCCTAGTACGTGACAAAATTACGCATAAGCGAGGTACAAAATGCCTGGTTGCAAGAACAGTTCTGCATTTCCCCAAAGCTCAAACTCATGTTTGATTTTCTTCGTGGAGAATACATCGTTTTTGCTGGTTGCGGATTCGTTGTGATTTTTTCCTCGATACTATGACTCCTTTTCCACGCAGTACGATGGGACGGCCGACGCCTTCTGAAGACGCCTAAATGTCTATATTTTAATGATGAAATCCTCAGACAAATCCATATATATTGTTGAAATGTAGTTCCTACCTTAATTCAAATGTATGTAACAGTCCTTCTGTTCACAGTTGAAGAGCTATGGAAACTGGAGGGTTTCCGAGTGCAGCTTGATGTAAACTGAACAGATATCAGAAGCTTGCAGACCCGACATGTGCTTTAAAGACGCGACAGCCTCATTACCATGAGATGTAGACAGTATTTAATAACTTTTTTTTCTTTGTTCGCACCTTTTGACGTAATACCCTAGAGAGATTTTTTTCACATTTCACCTTAATTCTTTATTCATATGCATATCGTATTTGCTGGAGGCTTCCAGGGTTCCTTAGCCCATATGCGGTGCAGACTCTGTGGGAGTTCGTTAGACTTAGCCGGAATTTATAAGAGAAATAAAAATAAACAAAATAAGTCCTAAATCCCATTTTTTGACAAAAATAGAAATAAAAATGACTCACATTGTGTTTTTGTTTTGTTATGTAGTATCTCTTTGCTTCTAAAGCCATTTGGAAGCGTTTCAACGTTTAAGACTTTCAGTTGAGTTGTACTAACAATAAGTAATAGGGGAAGGCTAGCGAGTCTGAAGCCGACCACCCCAGCTCGAAGCTCCATAAATCCCATAAAAATGATCTTAACTCCTCGCCTAAATTGCAGTTAAAGGATCAGCCGATAATTTGTCTTTCCCTTCTATGCTCCTGAAGTCTCAAGTTTCATCACAACAGCTAACGAAGCGCTTGATTTTAATCTTTTTTCCATCAGAGTTTAGTTTCTTTCTCGCGATGCTAATGACCGGGTCACTGGACCCGTAAGTAGTCAACGATCGCTCAAAGCTTACGTCACACGGTGTAAAATGGGCCAGACTGCTTTTTGTTAAACAAATTAATTGGTGATCCGGCGTCCTTGAGTTCTTAACCCTGGGACGTACACGCAAAGTCACCCCCCCCCCCCGCCCTTCCCTGGAGGTCTGTGACGTCACCAATCATGGTCGCCATCTTGGCCGCCATCTAACATTTTTTCAAGAATTAGAAATCAGGGAAAAACAAGCATTACTTTTATTCCTGAAAGAAGTTGAATAAACATGCACTTTCGCTAAAAAATGGCTTGACCACCTGCTTTTGACGTCATATGTCGTAATCATAGTAACTAACCGTCACTAAACTTGTCTCAAAATGCGCACAAGGGATAAACGAACAGCTACAGAAAACTTCAGGTGTTGATGTTTTATCGTTTAGGAAAAATTCAGAAAAACCTCAGGGGGGTGGCACCTCCCTCCCTCCCCCACACCCCTTGTACGTCCGTGCGTTGATTCGGTAGCCTGTTATCCGGTGGGGATAGTCTCACCCTTTTTACCTTATCGCACATAAGAATATAAATATTTTTTACACCTAGTTCTTAACACAGAAGCAAACAAAGTAAAAAATGTATGTAAGATCTTTATTCGCCCCTTAATAATTTTACATGAATGCCCCAACACTGAACTTCATGAATTTCTCTACAAACCCTACCAGGCTTACCTAGCTATAGATAGTCTCTTAAATGTTTTGTTTTAGTACTTTTAACTAATTACTTTCCTCTACTTGCAGTGAACGAAAAGTAAGAAGGCAAATTGCTATCCCAAGCATTTTATCTAGAGTGTAGCTGCAAGAAGTATTTTTTACTCGATTTAACGCCGTGACTTTTAATGAGTTTTTAGAATTTCTGATAAGACGTTTATCCATTTACGATAGCGTTTTATTTCAAAATCACAATTAAGGTGATTTACTTGTGGCATCATGTAAAACAGAAAGATTTTTGAATTCCAAAGTCTCGGTTTTTAATAGTTGAGATAGAATCGTAGTTTTCTGGATGGTGTATAGATATGTTACAGTATTAATATCATAGGTGACGAATTACTCCTTAATTTTGGCACGAAATTTCAGCGTTAATTTTTAATTTCACATGTGAAATTACAAAATTGCCATGGCAACCCTTCCGTACGTCAGGGCACAAAAAGACGCTTTAGAAAACCTGAACACACAAGAGAACATCAAGGAGGATTCTAACAGGTATTTTGCCGAAAATGTCTGAAAAATTCTGAACTTTATAAGCCAAATTTAAGGTCTAAACATCTGAGAGAGAAGAGTTCGCCATCGATACGATCCAGGATAAACATGTCAAAAATCCAAGATTGCTAACGTAATTCGTCACCCATGATATTACTGCTCTTTTCACAAACATGCGAATTTTGAAGTTCAAAAGCCAACTGACGATTGCGTTTTTCGCTGCCGTCAATCATCTTAACGGATCTCTTAGGAAACAAAACTTTACTTTAACGGGTTCAAAAGGTCAAGGTTTGTGATTTGTGATTGGTGGATTTCGATCCGTTTTGTGTGTTTCTGTGTTGCAAGGTTCGTTGCTTGTGATCGTAATTATTAATCATTAGAAATGCTAAGACAATGGACGTTTTTAAGTCCTTAGTGAAAACTCATCTTCTTAGGAAAGCGTATGCTTGTTATTTTTTTTAGAATTTTACATTTTTGACTCTGTGTAATTTTTAGTTTATCTATTAGATATGGACTGGATAGTTTTACTATATTAGATTTATTATTTTATTATTATTTTAATGTAACTTGTAAGGCGCATTTGAATATATTCATATAGATATTTGCGCCGAATAAGTAATAAATTATTATTATTATTATTATTATGATTGACGGCAGCGAAAAACGCAATTGTGAAGGCAGCTTTTTCAACTTTAGAGCTCGCATGTTTGTGAAAAGCGCAGTAATAGGTAATCAAATGGTATACTCGTGAAATTAGGGAACAATTTCCCTTGCGTTTTGTCCAAATCCTAATAATTTCCCGAGCCTTTCTAAAGGCTCGGGAAATTATACACATACTAATTAAGTAGGTTACCGAGTTATACGGAATTCTTTCTTATAATACTCGAACAAACGCCGTAATTTTTCTTCCATCTGCGGCGTTTAATCGAGTAGATTCTGTACATCAAACGACAAAAACAACGGGCTAAACAGGTTTCAAAAATCCCGATTGCAACCCGTTTCAATTGAAACTTTTCTTCACTCTTGCCCCTCAGTGCCATTTTGCACTCGCGCCGCTCGCACCAGGCTTCGACAGATTCATAAATAATCATGATATTTAAATATGTGTTCACTCTGGGCTTTTTCTAAAAAGGCAAAAATTAAAGAAAAGCGAGGCATTTTTTACACGTTTGTTTCATTGCGATACAGTCTTTAAAGAACCATTTTCTGAAAACAGCTCAGTGTCCAAGTTCACTGTCTTAAACTCTTGTCACAATTACTATGAGAAAATAGAACTAAAACTAGTGTGACAGAATTTTAAAACCTTAGCCTGAAAATAAGTTGACAATATTTCAATTCGCTAACTTAAATTTAGGTCAAATAAATGTCTTGCTAAATTATCTGAACGAAACATGTTTTCTCTGACAGTGACCGAGATGAGATTGGAAAATGTTTGTGTAGATGGAGCAAACCAAATTTTTCTCCCTACTTTCACATTACTCTTAACTTCTTTGCCGTTAATTCCAAGAAAATTTATGTCAAATTCGGTTTTCTCCAAGGGTTCGTGTATTTCTCCGTTTACAATCATAGGCTCACCAGGAATGCTGGGAATTTTCACTTCAATTCCGTGTTTGAGTAAAAGGTCATCATCTTCTTCAAATCCTACATTGTCTGGAAAACCATCAAGCTCTACAATCTTCAGTAGAACGAGAAAAAAAAATAACAAAAAAACAAAACAGAAAACAAGGGAATGAGATTTGTTAATCACCCCTAATAATAATAACGATAACGATAATAATAATAATAATAATAAATATAATAATAATAATAATAATAATAATAATGACAATGTTTTTGTTGTTATTATTATTACTATTTTATTCAGTAATGATGATGATAATGATGATACTGAAAATGATAATGACAATGAGAATAACTCAAGTTAACTAAAGCATGGGTCTCCACTTATTCAGTGAAAAATTGGGGGGGGGGGGTAGTCTTTCTTTCAAAGCTTGTGCGGTAGCAGCTTGAAACTTGGTCAGACAAGCACTTTATTATTTTTTGGCCAATTTGGTTAATTTTGCATAAATTTAAGGCCTTCAGGTATATCATTTAACATATTAGGGACGTTTAGCATCAGGTTTTTCATGGGAAACTACAAACCGCAAACCGCAAAATGTCACGTGACCATGGCCTTGCGGTCACGTTTGCAGTTTGTAGTTCACGTTTGAACGGGTGTCTGTAAAACGCGGACCGGATACCTGCGGATGGCGGATGCGGATGGGAAAATGCAGATAGAAAAATGCGGACGGAAAAAAAATGCGGATAACAAAAAAAGTAAGAAGAAAAAAAAGAGAAATGTGGATGGTAAAAAAAAAATAACAATAAAATAAACAAACAAACAAAGGAAAGAAATCTTTCTTTCAAGTCGCTGTCACATGTTTGGACCCTTCACTTACATACAGAACGTGATGCCAATAATTCACAGAGTTATTTTGTACCCTGTAATTCCTTTCATTAATGTCTCCTTTGAGTGTTTAGCTTAAGGCTTGCAGGCAAGGTAAACAGCTCAAAAAATCGGATAGCAAAGAAGGTGTCTGCAAAACGAGGACTGGATACCTGCGGATGGCGGATGCGGATGGGAAAATGAGGATAGAAAAAATTGTGAACAATAACAAAAACCAAAAAAAAAACACAAATATGGATATATAAATTGTGTCGCTAAAACATTTCTTAACAAAACACGTGTATAACCTTGTTCGGACAACAACAACAAAAAAAGACTAAATTTCCTCAAATTAAAAGAAAATTAGAGAAAACAAACTAAACCAAAAAATAGGGTGAACTACGCGAAAAAAATCGGCGTGCTTTGCTTCGCTTATTTCACGCTGGCCGCCACTAAATCACCATGTTTTCTCACAAAGGAGCCTGATCTTCAAAAGGGCTCATAATACAAATCAACTTTCGCTCTGCCTTGACTCTGGTCGACTCTGCCATAGCAGACAGTTCAGAGAGTGATTGTGAACTACAAACACCTGCAGAAGCCCGTTTTTGAGATCGAAAGCTAAGCTACTGTTACACTAGTGGTCTTCTGTTACACAATTTCCTCTCGGTTGCTTTTGTGAATCGGTCTTGTTTAATGAGGGTTTTTCTACAGAAATTCATTTTCAAGCAATATGCCGCACCCTCAACAGAGTCATTTT